GAGGAGGAAGCCTGCGCTGACTGTAGGCAACTCAGCCCAAACGTGTCGGAAACCACTCGAGGTCAAGCCGAGAGATGTTGAGCCGGAGCAGCTGGCCTCGAGCCCTGTGAGAGCAATCAGATGCTCCCTGCCTGCCTGCCTGCCTGCCTGCCTGCCTGCCTGCCTGCCTGCCTGCCTGCCTGCCTGCCTGCCTGCCTGCCTGCCTGCCTGCCTGCCTGCCTGCCTGCCTGCCTGCCTGCCTGCCTGCCTGCCTCCCTCTCCCTCCCTCCCTCCCTCCCTCCCTCCCTCCCTCTTTCATTGATCATCCTCTCCCTCCACTGCCTGCACCCCATCTTTGTCCTTCTCCCCTCTCTTCCCCCCTTCTATCCTCTTTCTGCTCCTTTTCTGCCCTCCTGGGATTCTCACTGGACAAGGTCGACGATAGGAAGAATCCACTTGCATCTTGAGTTGTTCAGATAGAACGTTGACTGATTGAAGTTATGGCTCTGCAAACTACACCAAAAATCAGTCCAATCCTCCTCCTCCCCCCAATCCCCTCCCCCCTCGTCCTCCTCCTTGACCTCATGCCCGTCCCACCTTCCTTCTCGCCATGCAATTTCCTCGATCTCCGAGCAAAATGGCAGGGAGCAGAGCTCTCCCGAATTTCCTGGCAGGCAAGCACACTCGCCCCGTCCTCGGGTTGTGGAAACACAAGTGAAATTGTTGTTGGGACAGCTCTTGGTCCCCGACTGTCCCCCAGCTCCAGCTCCAGCTCCAGCTCCAGCTCCAGCTCCTGGTGTGCACAGGTACACTCTAGAGGAGCACACCTCACCCGTCCATCCATCCTCGCACTCGCACTGGTCGGGGTTGACGTTGCAGTTGCCATGCCCGCTGCAGTTACCCGGGCACCTGAACGACGATGCCGCAGCTGAGAACCCGGAGAACTCAACGGCAAAGTCCGAGCAGAACACCAGCGAAACCTCCCTCACGTTCCTCCCCGACAGCTCTAGCTCTCCTCCCTCCGTCAGGTCCTCCAGGGAGCCGCAGTAAGTCCCGGCATACCCCGGCATGCTCGTCGCCCACGTGTGGCAGGGGAGCCCTTCCTCGTCCGAGCTCAACTCTGGGATTGAGCCCGAGGACGAGGAAGAGGAGGAGACCAGAGGCCCGTGGATCACGTGCAGCGCATCGAAGGGACACTCCTCCGCGCAGTCCGGCGAGCCGTCACATCCTGGCCAGAGCGGGAAGAACCAGCCGCTCGACTCAACCTCCAGCCTGTTGAGTTTCACCGATGTTCGCATCCCCGGGGAGGAGGAGACATGCCAGGCACATGCAGACTGACTGGAGTACTCGCTGCTCGCGTCGCAGCTCTCGAAGCTCTGAGTCTCCCCAACCTTGAGAACCACTTCGTTCACCTTGCCGCTCTCGCAGGAGAAGATCGAGCAGGCGTCTCCGCTCCACCCAGGGGAGCATGTGCACTTGGCGTTGTGCTCGTTGCAAGTTCCGTGACCCGAGCAACCACTCGGGCAGCTCTCCTTCATGCTGCAGTCGACTGCTCCGTAGAGATTGTCGCACTGACACACCCCAGACGAGCAGACTCCATGTCCACTGCAGTCGCCAGGGCAGGAGGAGGGACACTCTGCTTGTGTCAGAGCCGTTAGAGACTCTCCCGTGATTGCTAAAGCATAATCCTGCGAGGGAACGGATTGACTTCCCCCCCTCATGTGCGTAGATTCATCCACCACCACGCTGCTTCCATGCACGTAGACCACATACATCCCCGTGCTCGGCTGAGCCACCACCACCTGCTCGTTGTTGTTGAGCTGGTCGGGCCCAGCGCACGGGGCCTCCTTGCAGAGGTCCTGGTTGCCCAGCATGAGCAAGCCAGGCAGCTGAGCTGATGGGCGGCGGTAGAGGGAGAGATCGAGGTCGTTGACGAGAGCGATACCCGAGTAAGCCTGCCCCGGAGGGTCCGTCCAGGTCAGAGTGACCTTGAGGGGCCGGCCAACGGCGTCCACACGGAAGCAGTGCATGTTAGTCTCCCCGTCCCTCACCGTTGCCGTGGCTGTCTTCGGGTTGCTCTGCGCGAAGGCATCAAGGGCGATGAGGGAGGGAGAGCCTGTGATATCGGAGAGGGGGAAGCTGTTGGTGAGGTTGATCCTCCCGTAGCCGATCTCCATGTTGGGAGGCGACAAGAGCGTCGTCCCACGGCTTCCTCGCTTCCCTGTCATCGCCACAGCTCCGTTGAGGAGCAGCGCTCGCATCATGGCAGAGGAGGGATCGAAGCCCGAGGAGGTGCCGGTGGCGGGAGTCATCCAGAGGCCGGCATTCCCTGCTTCCGACAGGTACCTCGTCTGCAGATATTCCCTCGCAAGGGCCGACGCTCCTGCTGTGATGGGAGTCGCCATGGAGGTACCGGACATCCTGGCGAGGGCACTTCTGTCCTGGTTCAACGTGTTGCCGCACTGGTAGGTGTAAGGACGGCCGTCAGAGTGAGCAGAGAAGATGTCTTCTCCCGGAGCAACGAGGTCCGGCTTCATCCTGCCATCGGCAGTGGGACCGAGGGAGCTGAAATAGGCCAAGTTCTCCCGATTGAAGCCTGGGAAAGAGGTCGCGCTGCGCAGGGAGATGGTTGACTTGTGGTCCTGACTGATCCTCGTCATGTTGAGCAGCTGGCCGCCGTCAAACATGGAGATCATGACTGAAGGGATGGTGATGTCCACGTTGTTGCCCCCCATCGAGATCGGCTCTCCGTCAACATTGTTCACTACGATCACTCCGTCCGCGTTCATCTGCTGCGCGTTGTACACCTTCTGAACGAACGTGCACGTGCCTCTCGTGACGACAGCGATCTGATTTTGCAAGCTCTTCTGCTGAACCTCGCACAGCTCTCCTACCCAGGAGGAAGTCTGCACAGCGGAGGAGAAGCTGGTCGACGAGTCTATGGCTCTTCCAAAGCTCGCCCCTGCAGCGGAGAAAGATCTGCTGTACGTGCCGGAAGACAGCTGGGCTTGAGCAAACACCTCCAGCCGCCCTCCTCCAGTCAGAGCATCTCGCTCGTCCCCCTGTGTCGCCCCCACGGCGATGCAGTTCTTGCACGTGGCGGGCGATCCGACGGTCCCTTGTGGGACTGCGCTGTCCCCGTCGTTGCCCGCAGCAAACAGGATGAGCATGTCCGGGTTTTTGTCCACGTACTCGTCGACCTCAGCAGCCGTGATGGTGTACTCGTTTGACGAGTCGCCCCAGCTGTTGGAGTGAACTCTAGCTCCCAGCGTGTACGCCCAACCGAAGTAGTCAGACTGGATGTCGTCGGGGATGTCGAGCCCCTGGTCTGTGCGCCTGATCAGGACGGGGGGGCTGGCGACTCCAGGCATGTACACTTACCAGACCCGATGTCAAAGAAGGCGATGCGGGCCGCAGGTGCCATCCCCTGGAAGGAGCTGATGTCGGACGAGACGCTTCCTTGCGTCGAGCCGAGGATCGATCCCACCACGTGAGTCCCATGCCCACCTGACACGAGAGCATTTCACTGACAGCATCGCATTCATCTCCTCATGCTCAGTACCAGGATCATCAGCAGCGTCTGCCCATGAGTTGTACGACACAATCTTCCTGTGCGTGGTGGAAACCTGAGGCCAACAGTGAGCGGTGGAGCCATGGGAGCAGGGCAGATCAACGTCAGGGTAGAAGGAAGGCCCAGGGTTCCCTGACGAAGAAGAAGAATCCCAGAACATGCACGAGTCTACATCCAACCCGGTGTCGCCACATCCCACAATCTGCCCTGTCCCGCGAATGTTTGCCTGCCATATCTGCGCAACGAGGATCAGGTCAGTGCATAGCGAGCATGATGCTTCACCGGGGTATGCTCTGATTGCACGCACGCAGGACATTCGTTGCTGTTGCAAGGAGCACAAGCGGATCCGCCCTTGCCAGGCATCAGTCGCGCCATGACGAGAACGAGAGCGAGGCACGTACCTGTACGGTGATGGCTGCGTATTTGTTTCTCAGAGAGATTTGAGGTTTTGCCTCGATCCACAGTATGTCGTGCCTCTTGCTCACTGCTTCTGCCAGATCCAGTATGTTCAAGCTCTTGGAATTGAAGACTTTGATTGAGATTTTCTTGCTGTTCACAGCTTGGACTTGTGCGTCGATGTTCTTGGAGCGCAAGTCACGCTCCAAAGAAAGCTTCAGCTCCCCACCATTCTCTGTGAGCACCATCGCATGAAAAACACAAGTATCGCCACATCTCTCTACGCTTTCTTGAAGGCCCTTCCTTGAAAACTTGTGCTTGCTTTCGTAGGGCCCAACCCACATCACGACATCGTTCAGGCTCGTCTCAACGTGTCGGATGTCTTGACGTGTCATCGGCATCAAAAATGTGTTCCAAGGAAGATAACGCTCCATTTTTTTCCCAGTGATCTTTTCAAACCTTTCCCTGTGCTGTGCATTCCCTGCGTTGTAAAAATGCACCAGGCAAAGTTCAACTTCATTTCGCTCGGACAGGTGATACTTGGGAGCTCGAGTTCTCAGATGCTCGACGTTCAAGACTTCATTGCGCAGCACCACGAGTCTTTTGCTGCTACGGTGAGGCGCGTGACCGGGCACGAAAGCCAGACCAGAAGTAGCAATCTGCATGAAGCATGCTAGAGCAAGAATCGAATTGAGTCTGTGGTACATCGCTTCCGGTCATACAGGGTTTGATCTTCTCATGTTTTCGCCATGTTGCATGACGAGTAGTTCCTCTCCTCTCTCCATCATCGCCCAGAGCCGCGCAATGCCCTATCAACCCTCGCGCTTGCCAGCATGCCCGCTTTCCTTTCACCCCGCCTCAGACAATTTTATCCACCTACTGCAGATATTGTAGATTTTCATAGTACAATTACAACTGATTGTACAGAAAATTGTACTGAATTTCACATTTTCATACAAATATACAATATTATTTAGTAGTTACAAATCACCTCCCCCGTATAAATCAACTTCTCGCTCAAGTTTCCTACTGCTGCTGCTGCCGTCGGGTCCTCAATCCATGCTCTCCATCCCTTCCTGCTGCCTTCTCTTCATTCATCTCTTCCTATCTCCTCGTCCTTTGCTGCTCAAAACAACTTCAAACTCCTGTCATTCCACACTCCTGTTTGTTGTTTCGTATTTGTCAAGAATCAATCTCAATCACCTGCTAATGCAGCAATGATCTTCGTTTCCACAATCATCACTATGCTAACGCTTCCCTTCCTCAGACTGCTGAATGCGACCTACCCACTTGTCTTCTGCTTCCATCCACACGATGCGCAGTGCGCCCTCTCGTATCCTCGTGTCCACGCTGTTGTGTGCTACCTCAGCTCATTCCTTTGGTTGCAGTTACTTGGGTGCTCCCAGAGAAACACATCTGCAGCAACGTCAACGTCAGTTTAGTCGTGTTGCGTTCATGTCGGCAAAAATGGAGGACAGCACGAAAAGATACAGGCCATGTGCTGGGGCGATAGTTTTCAACAAGCAGAAGCAGCTGCTGTTGGGGGAGCGGAAGGACAAGGCAGGGGCGTGGCAACTCCCACAAGGAGGTATTGAGGAAGGGGAGAGCCCTACAGAGGCAGCTGCACGTGAGCTCTTTGAAGAGACAGGTCTGCGGGAGCCAACAGTCAAGACGATCAAGTCACTATGTGAGACCCACAAGTATGATGTGCCCGGAAAATCTTGGCTTCACAAAGCTGGATTTTGTGGGCAGGAAATGCACTGGACCTTGTTCCTTTACCCATCAGATGGGTTGCCTCCCGTGAATCTGAATGGAATAGGAGAGCCAGCAGAGTTCACGAGGGTGAAGTGGTCGACATGGGAGGAGCTTGTCCAGCGATCAGTAGACTTCAAGAAGCAGACTTACGAAGATCTGTCGAAGATTGCTGCTCCTGAAATTGAAGAGGTTTGCAAATCCCTGTAATGTATGAACGTGATAGACTCCTTGTGCGGTTTCGCTTGCGAATTCAAGGTGCGGAGAAAAAGCCTTAGAAAGGAGAAATTCATCATTCCTTACAACGCTATATCTCTGTCAAGATACACCGATTGCTATTGAGATCAAAGACGTGAACTAATTGTACACAAGAAGGTCAACGAACTACTTCGTCTCATCATATGAATATGCTCATGGGTGCGAATGTGCCCCGTCTGCCCTTCCTCCATGCGTACGGGCTTGTAAGCGGATCATACCCATCTGCAAGTAGGAAAGATTGCTAAGACAAGGAGGCAAAGGAAAGTAAAGACAAGGTACTTACCGTGAGGTTGCAACCGATTCCGCAGAGGATACCTAACACCTGGGTCAAACGACTTGACAATCAGAAGGTTTCATCGCATACCGAGCTTTTGCCGCCGGGGAATGCCTCGCTCCCAGATCCAAAACAGCATAATGATTCCAAAGATGAACCCCATTACTAGCCCCTGTCACGTGCTACATCAGGCACGATCACGCATCAAACTCAAGAGTGTTACAAGCATCATATCTGCTTGCGTTCCTTCCGCCACTTCTTCCATCACTCTATCCATCCTTCGTGTACCTCCAAACTCTGCGATCGAAAGGAACCAAAATCAGATCTGCATAATCCTCCAACATTACATGGCACCATCTCGGTTGTTGCCGTAGGCCATCAAAGCTCCATCCGAGTTCTGCTCCAGCCATTCCTCCTCCAGTTCGACGGCTTCAGCTTCCGATAGCGGTCGTCCAAAGTGGCCCCGGCGAGAATGAAATTGGATGCGTAGAATCTCAATCTCTGTACGATTAAACCCTGCTTGCAAAAGGCGATCAAATCCTCGCAGCTCATTTTCATCTGAATTTCTTTCCCTCCCTATGTTCACCCCGACCTCAGCTTGTGGCAGCTCGTCAGAAATCGCGGCATGCAAAAAGTCCCCGTCCTTAACACCATAAGAATTCAATGTATGCGAGTCTTCGAGCATCTTCCCCAAGAGAATGAGACGGATCTTCTTGTTCACAAGTCCTTTGTTTTCCTTCAAATGGTCTTTGAGTTGTTTCACAGTCCACGACCCTTCTCCCTCCACCTCCCATGAGTTTGTATCATCTAGCGTCTTGATCTTGATCTTGATTGAGTCATCACACACTTGTACTGGAGTGTAGTCGAGATGCCGCATATCTCGCAGCTCCGTCATCCTGCCTCGTTGCAAATGACCTGCACTAACAAGTTCAGTCGAGTTCGCAAGTATCATCTTGAAAACTTCTTCCTTTAGTGTGTCAGAGCCATTCTGGCCATATGACAGAGAAGCATCACGTAATCACTCACAACAGTTGCATGAATCTTAACCCCTCTGACGACAACACGCGATTGGACGCCCACACAAAGTCTTTCAACGAAAGGACAAGCAAGAATGATCTATAGCCTTCACAACATTCTCAGCCGAAGGCATCAAGAAAGTTTCCGGGCATCAATCAAGGAGGAGGAGATCAGGAAGGGAAGCTAGGGGCTTCTGTATCGCAGGGTCGCTCTGCCCTACTCGAACTGCATCGCTGCTCATGCTGCATAGCCTCTAAAACAGTTCAAGGCAGGGTAGTACCAGGTGGGTAGGGTAGATCAGGTTGATAAATTATCAAGAAGTACCCGGTCATTTTAGATGAAAGCACTGTACCACATAGGGGTTGATGTAACGATGGACTACCCCTACCCCTAAGGATGGACTACCCCGCCCTAACGATGGGGCAGTCCATCGTTACAGCAACCCTTTTTGTAGACCGCTCATCAGGCGAGGGACGGGATAGCCAACGGTGGCAGTTTGCAGGAATATTTACAAGGAACGAGCACTTGATCCTTAACTCTCAATCTTCAGGCTGTCAAGGTCTTGCTCGAAACTTCGCATCATCTTGCCCAGGCCCCACTGTTTTTCAGGCTCGGCAGCTTTTCTGGCCACCTGGAAGTCTTCAGGCTCACCAGGATTATCGAAGCTCCTTAAAATCACCTTGAGAGCATTAGGCTCGTCCTTCCCTTTCAATCTGCCACGGTCCATCGTTAGCCCCACAAGGGCAGCAGGCAAGAAAAGTCTTACTGGTTTGGTGTGCGGGAGTAGCTCTCGATCTCATTGAGGGGATATACTGCCGGCTTGCCGGACTACAATCAAGTCAACTCCGACAACAGCAGAGGAGATGAGCGCAACCTCAACATCATGGCGCCATTTAGCCAACTCTGACCTGATTTTCTTGACCTGCAGCAACGCTCCAAAATCATTCGAGGCAGCAAGGGGATGGTGAGCTGACCCGGTCCTGTGATCGCTGAAGCCCTGCTTGTGTCGAAATGATTTCCTTGCTTGATTCTGGCATGGAATCAGATATGAACTCACAAGGACATACCAAGTACCTTTGAGAGGGTGAAGCAGATTTTTGATGTGTAGAGCCAAGTTCTGAAGATATACTGGACTCTATCGTTGGTGATCAAATACACGATGTCAGCATTAGCCTCTGACACACTTTCTCTGATCTACCTCACTCTTCACGTCATAATGCTCATCCAACGGACGCGGCTTCTGAGCATGCAGAGCTGGACGCATCCCAGTTCGGAAATACCCTCCCGTTGGATGAGTGAGATAAGTTCCTAGCACAATCACGAAGATTAAAGACCGCAGGACAGACTGAAGAACGAAAACATGAGACTTGAAGCTTCTTACCTTGCTCCGCTTCCTCCATCCCTGGCAAAACTTGTCCGACACTGTCCTGAGCTGGAACCGTTCGATCACCCAGCCCAACATCGCTCCAGCTTCGCGATTTCACTTGCATGTCACTGTTTCCTCCAAGAGCTGAGTGCGCGGTGACAGATCCCTCCTCGCTTCCGACGGGACCTTCCGTGAACCAAGGAGGTCCGGTCAGCCCACCATATCTCCCCGTTCCAGGATACGTCGTCCTCATTACCCCGTTAGGGTTCACAATCGGCAACTGTCGCTGTCTATACATCTCTCGGGGATAGATGGTAACGTTCTCATAAGTGTTGGGCTGCAAAGAGTTTCTGTAGATGTAATCGTCCACTATCTGATTGTCGTCCGGGAATCCTCCTGGCCTTAGCGGCCTGCCGTACTTGTTCCGCCCTCGATCACACGCAGGATGATAATTCGGCGATCGACGGTCTGCACTGCAATTGACGATGCGGTCCTTCATGAAAGGTTCGTGCTCGTACTCATACTTAACGCGCCTGCGCTCAAGCTTCCTATCCTCCCGCCCTCCAACTCCTGGCCCGTACCTCGTGTGAGTGAGCGTGCACTTGTCTGGGTCGGTGCACGGTGCGAAGTTGTCGCTCTCGTAGAACATCTTCGGGAAGCCCTTGCCCTCCACGATGTCTAGCAGCGGATTATCCTGCCCTTCCTCGATCAGTGAGGCATTGACGTCAGAGTCCATGTCGCGTCCGATGACGTGCTCTCCGAACGGATTCGTGTTCTCCACAGGCTGTTGTTGCCCGGCAAAGTTGTTGGAGTTTTCCGGAGTTCGCCAGTATCCCCACGTCCCATTCGTTTCCTGCCGTCTCAAGCTCAAGGACCACCCGAGGCCTCCTGAAGAAGCAGGTGCGGACTGGCTCTGTGCCAAGTTGATCACAGACATGCTCGCTCTGTGAGGGTGGCGCAACAGAAACTGGCGCTGGAGCTCAAGTTTGTGGTACTGCTGCATTTTCTGCTCAATCGAGTGAAGAGGCACTCTGCCATCTGCATCCGACAGACGCTCAAGATCTGTCATGAGAGAGGGGTGGCGATTCATGATCTGACTCAAGTGCCTTATCACCTTCATTCTTGCCTCTCGCTTGAATTTCAACCTGCTGGCGACCTCTCTTTTCTTCTTGGCTACAAGTTTGTTTCTCTCCTTCTCTAACAACTTTAGCCGTTGATTTAGTAACCCCTCCACATCAGATTCCATCACACTGTCTTGGCCGTTTCCTCTTGCTTTGCTGTCGTGTCTCATCAAGTTCTCGTCAATTGACATCATGCCGACAGGTGTCTGGTTTCGAAAGTTGTTCAACCCTATGGCCATGATCCCGAGAGATAACACCATGAAGGCAGCAAGCAGGAGTTCCTCCCGCCTCTTCTGCTTCATGCTTCCTCTACTAGTCATTCACAACGCATCTTCTCGCTATCGGCTCTTCCTTGCCATGCTGGGATTAGGCGACAGCGCACAGCCATGCCCCTTCGAGGGGGTTCAAAAGGCAGAAGAACAGTATACATTAGTTCAGCTATTTGATTTTTGCTGCCTTCTTCAGGATACTTCGGCCCGGGGCAGGCTTGCCCGGCCCGCCGACCGTACCGGCCGGGCGACGGACTCCGCCCGGCGCGGCGAGCCGCCAGACTCCGGCCCGGTGCCGCTCATCAAGGCTGCGTACTAAGAGGCCAGTACGGTACCTATGATCGCCGGAAAGGCTCCGACCGACTGACTCTGTGACTCGGTCGCGGCACCCGGCCGCCTTCACGAGTTCAAGTTTCAAGCCTGACTAAGGGGAGACTAACGCAGACCAAATTCAATTTCGCAAATCTTGAAATAATTCGTTACGTGAAACGGTTTGAAACATAAATAGTTGTATTCTGAGAGCTAAATATAACATCAAATATCCAATTTTACCCTCATTTTCTTCGCGTTACAACAAGATGCTGCCAAGGCTCCACCTACCGACGCACAGAAGGACGGAGGAGGTTGAGATCCTCCAGTTTTCCTTTGCAGAAAGCAAGGCTATCATGTGTACTAACCGGGTTGTGTATACCATACCAAAGGAATCGACGGTTCTCAATGCATAGTATCCCTTGCGAGTGAAATAACGTGCAGCTCTGTACGACTCCATTCCTTTGATACAATGCGGTTTAATCAGTACTCCTTCAATGGCACCGATGCATCTATCAAAAACGCCACGAGAAGATTTCATCTTGAAGCCTGTGGCGATGCTTTGCAAAGCATTTGTGTCCTTCAAATCAGGATATCTGATGCGCAAGGGACGGTCACAATTCGAGATGGCCACAAGTACTTCATTCTTGCGCACAATCAGAGACTCAATGGAAGTGATGAATATTTAAGTATGAGCCACCTGCCAGCCATCTGATTATCATGGACAGTTTCAACTCCTCCGTGATACACCCATGTGGACTGCCCCTCCTTCCATGTTCCTCTTTGCCAGTAATATCATTACGAATGAGAGACAAAAGATGTTAGAATGCAGTGCGAGACATTCGATAGAATATACGAAATTGATAGTCACTCAAAGTTCTTTGAAACTTGTACCAATCAAGCCTCTTCCTGCTCATATTCCTCTTCGTCCAGTTGCCGATCCTGTTCCCTTTCCGAAGATATCTCTTCTTCTGCGGTGGACCTAAGATCTCAGTTTCGTCACTGGACGATTCGGAAATGCTTTCTTCTCCATCACTGCAGGTAAATTCATAATCATCCGACCCATCATTGATGGGTATGTTATCCACCAGCGACATGCCCGTCCCGCCTACCATGGCAGGGAGGGGCGACGAAATTCGGAAATTGCAAACGCATCGTTTGAAATTCAAATATAATGAACTTTTAGTTGGATTTCAATTTGCTTTTTCGACCTCGAGCGCGAGTTGACTTAAAATTAGTACCAGAATGAAATTGAATTTGGTCTGCGTTAGTCTCCCCTAAGCCAGTGAGCCTCAGTTCGCCAAGTTGTGGCTGGCACACTAGGACGCTAGCCTAGTATCTTGATCTTTGCTCGATGCCTACATTCACGTGGCAAGCAACAAGCCATCAGTTTCACTAACAGTGACTTCCGCTAGTAACTTGTCAGACACAGGGATGAGTCGGAGAGTCCGCGGTTGGAATCCGGGAATGAGTGCATTCTCGGCCTGAGAAGCCGGAGCTGGGCTCAACTTAGGAGTTGAACTTCGATGCCGCCAAAGGACCTGTAAGGGAGGAAACTCTCATTCGGTTTGTCGCAAAAGAGTGAGACTGGTGCAAGATTTGGCCTCGTGCAAATCTCTGAATCAATTGACTGGTTGCCTTGTGCATGTCTCGGCAACACTCCATAAGCCAACTCTTATTTGTGAAAGTCAGGCTACAATCAGCGAAATGAGGATATGTCATTGAGCTTTGTATCCAATTGATCTCAGGATTGAGGATGGATACTTCGCAACTGAAGATGGTCTTCTGAGGTGTATCAGAGACTTTTGTTGAAAAATGGTAACCAAAAATTGACTACTTAGCAGTAGCCCATGCAGTGCGCAAGTCTCTGGGCATGCTCTTCCTCTCCAGGAAACATACCAGGCTTCCAAACGCCTTTAAACTGTGGCGACAACAATGTCAAACAGCGGACAAAATCGCCAAGAATAAATGATTCTCACGTTGTCGGGAGGTCCCATTCTTGTATACAACGATCGAATTCCCTGTTTGCATAGAGAGCAATCAGAGCATGAAAACAGTCATACAGCATGGAATCAGAGGTACGAACGTGCTAAAACACATCACATCAAGCAAGACATAACTCCATCTTTGAAGGCAACCCACGAACACAATGGGAAAACTGACAACAGAAAACAGAAGAGGGGGAGCAGGAGAATTGCGTACATGGAGCCCATTATCTTCCTCGCGATTCTTGGAGTGCTCAGAGAGGAGTTGAAACATCTGCAATCGCACTGGCTTTAACCACAACCATCTCCATCCCACTTTTCGCCATTACCGTCTATTTCCGGGGTGGATACACTACCGGTGGTCGGGATATTACATTCTGAACATCAATATGACCCTACTAAATTCATTGAAAATAGGGGGTACTCTTACCACCCCACCTATCGATGGTAGAGAATTCATGGGATGACTGATTTATGTGGTACAGTTGGTACCCCCTCAATTGACCCCCGTAGGTTGCTATGGATAGACACCGGTACTTCATGAATCGATGGGGTTTGGAACATGAGTAGGGTGGTTGTAATGGCATTTGGTAGGGTGGGTAGCAAAGGTACCATTGCCAGACGCGGTGGGTAGTCACCACAGTAAACTCGATTTCAAGAGGGGTGGGGTAGTATTTGTACGGTTGAATATGTATGGATGTGTCTGGGTCATCCTGGGCTCGAGTGGGGTCATACGATCTGTTAAGACAAGGGTACTGGGTGTCCCTGGGGTACTTGACGGGTGGGGTAATCAAGAAGAAGGGTGGGGTGGGTCGTGGACTTCGAGATTTTCATGGCAGCAGAGCTGCAAAGGTAGCAGCATGCCTATGGAGAAGAAGCAGAGGAAACACGCGATGGAAAGGGTGAGCGAAGCTGATTGCTCATGAAATGGCGAGGGTCTCTACCTCCGGATGTGAACAGGCATGCAGCTCTCCTTCAACCCGTGAAGAATGACTCCGCGATTGTCTGGGAGATAGGGGGCGCTAGGTGGAGATGGCTAACTGAGTCAGGCCCGCTGCTTGATTTGGCCCTTGGAATGCCGTAGCCAGTGGGACGTCTCCAAGTACTGCTATGGAAGAGTCTCTTTGGTGCGGAAAAGCTCCTGAAGGAGCGCAGCATGTCGTTGGACCAGGTGGTCCCAGGAAGCTTCAGCATCAACAGGAACAGCAGCAGCATTGGAACGATATCTTGAGCAATGGTAAGTCGAATTTCAAGCAATTCAGATTCGAAGATGCTGCCATCATGGCAGCACGAGAGTCTGGCAACAGTGAGATTGAGGCGTTGATCATGAAAGGGCTGGCTGCGGCCTACAGTGGATTGGGCCTGCATGACAAGATGGTAGAGTATGAAGAGCAAGCATTGAAGATAGCGAGACAAGCCGGAGACATTGAGTCTGAGGGAAGATCCCTCTGTCGGCTAGCAAACATATACCGAGACTTGCAGAACACAGAAAGAGCGATCGAATGCGCTGAAAGTGCACTGAACATTGCGAAGAGGATTGGCGACGGTGATATGGAGCATGAGTGTTATTTCACTATCAGCGTGCTTTGTTCATCTAACGGTCAGATCGGCAGAGCGGTTGAATGCGGGAAGAAAGCTCTCCAAAGAGCGAAGCTCCAGGGAAACAAGGATAGGGAAGGCAGCGCTTACGGGTGCCTAGGGATTGCATGTAGCTGTTCGGGAGAGCATGAACAAGCTGCGAAGTGGCATGAGAAATTTTTGTCTGCAGCCCAGGAGACGCAAAACTTATCTGCTGAAGCACAAGCCAGAGGCTACCTGGGGGCAGCATATCTAAGCCTAGAGAAGCTTCCAAAGGCGCTTGAACATTTTGACGCCTATGTCACTCTTTCTCGCTCGTTGAGCGATACAGATATGGAATCTAGAGCTTTATTATGCCGATCACGCACCTTTGTTCGTATGCGACAATCGAGAAAAGCGGTTGTCGATCTGGAGGCAGCAGTGAAAATTTGTAAAGAGAGTGGAACGATCTCTTTTCCTGGTGAATTCTCGGAGCTCCTTGAATGTGTGTATTGGTTGATGGTGCATGAAGTGACAGAATCTACTGCGAACAGCTCCTCACAGCTCGAAGGGTGTGTTGTAGACCTGGAGATATTTGTTTCAGTCGCTGAGAGAATGGGAGAAGAAACGATCCTCGCGAATTCTCTTAACCTGTTGGTGAGCGCGTACATGGCAGTGGGTGACAATAACAAAGCCCTCGAGACTTGTAACAAGGCATTGGAGCTTGCAAACTCCAAGCAAGACTCAGAACAAAGCATGAAGATCTCTCAGATGCGGCAGCTAATCCTCAGCCATGCTCCCCTTTCCTTGATATGCAGTCCAGTTTCAGCTGCACTGGCAACCAGTCCCGGTGGAATCGTTTCAGTAACGTCTCCGCAGGGCTCAGGAATGGGGCACTTCTCTCTTACGCCTCCAACTATTTCTTCCAATGCGAGGACATGGTCGAGCGAAGAGCTTCCGTGGGACAAATCATTCAAAACGTCGTGCGCAGAGCGAAACGCGGAAGCAGCTGCAGAGCCAACGACTGTCTGTGGTTCAACTCTACTTCCAACATTTGCCAGTATTTTGTCTTGATGTCAAACTTGAGCCAACCTTGATTCTTTCTTTCTAGGCTCTAGCATCTCGTATCCTGTGCTCAGTGACCACTGGACAGCTACGAACTCCACGATAGGTCGAAGTGCCGCTGAGATGTTTGAATTGCTCATGTGCTTCACAGAGTGTCGCGTGCGCCTTGTGAAGGTCAAGAAGAGTGTAAGAACGTCTTGTATACCGCAGCCCTACTGATAAGACGGACGAAAGGTGTCAATCGGGGTAAAGCAAGCGACTCTTAAGTTGGGAAGGGCGTGGCATGAGTTGAAGAGCGACGGAAAGGTGTGGTATGTAATGCTTAGCATGAACGAGTCAGACGGCATTGAGGCAAAGCGATCGAATGTATTTGTTTCAGTTCAAAGTGGCCGTGAGGTATCGATCTTTCGCTGTCCTAATTTGTTCTTACAGTTTTTTTTTTGTTGTTGTTTTCAGACACTGTTTTCACATCACATTCAGCATGAAACAGGTGATAAATCTTAGAATATTGTGCACGTTACAAGTGTGATAGCAGATGCTCTAATGGGAAAAAGCTTGCTTGTGAATTGGGATCAGCCGAGCACGGCAGTGTACAGCGAGATTGTGGTGTCCATGGAAGTGAACCTGCAAAACGGAACGATTGAATTCTGGATCAACGAGGAAAAGTTGGATTTTGTTCTGACTGGTTTGAATGGAGAAATCCAAATGGCTGTACAGTTTCATTCCTCTGCTGACAAGGTAAACCATAGGGCTTCTCCCACACGAACTGACGGAAGATCTCAGGTTGAAATCCTCCGCCCATCAGCATCCCGCAAGAGTGGAAAGAGCTCGAGCGCCAAGGGGCTGCAGAGGCTCAAGGTCGAGGACAGGGTGAAGATCTTGAAAGAGAAGGGAAACCTCGCGTTCAAGTCGCAGGATTTTCGGCATGCCGTGCAGGTGCGGGTAATGGTGCGTGCTAGCCGACTCTGACGTCCGCCAGATCTTCTCATTGGCCTTGAAGCTGGCGCCAGACAATCACATCCTGTACAGCAACCGCTCAGCAGCTCACCTGGCGCTGAAACATCACGAGAAGGTGCGGGAAACCACCCGAGGCCTCAACGTTGACAGCTTGTACAGGCCTTGGGAGACGCTGAGTCAGCTCTGAAGCTGAAGCCGGATTGGTCAAAGGGGTATCTTCGCAAAGGCGATGCAATGAAGCAAAGTGGGCGGCTCGAACAAGCCCTGGAGGTGCAATAACCCATTCAGCAGCTGCTCAGCTCCGTACTCACTGACTATTCAGGCGTATCGAGAAGGACTAGCTGTGGATGAAACTTGCCAGGAACTTGTAGAAAGAGTCGCGGCTGTTGAGAAACAGGTTCGGCTTTGTAAACGTTTTGTTATTCTACTTTGACTCTTATGGTAGCGTGAGTTGGAAGCAGAGGAGATGAAGGAGCGTGAAAGGCAAAAAGAGGTATGAGATGAAGATAGCGGAAATGCTCATTGGGGATTTTGATGCCAAGGTTTCACAGATTGAAGAGAGCAGGCGTGCTGCAGAGGAACAAAGGAAAAGGGCTGAGGCAGAAAAAAAGGCCAAAGCCCTACAGGAGAGGGAGAGGAAACGACTGCTTTACAAGCAAGCCCGGCAGAAGGAGAAAAGAGAGATGCAGATGAAGCTTGCCAAATTCGCCGCTGATGACTCATCGGTAATCTCGAGCAATGTCTTGAACGAGTCATGCGAAGACGAGTGGAGGCCTCGCTCTATCTCTCTCTTGCATGGTCCTGAAGTTCACGACGATTTACAATCCGCCTGTGCATTTGTTGAGGAAGGGAAAGATGTTATTTATGAGGAGGACAGGGATATATTGGGGGTGGGCTTGGCAGGACCTGAAAGGGAGAGCGGCGTGAAGAATGTCTGGGTGAATGGATCGCGGAATCTGTTTCATCAGGCTGGCAGTTGCGATGTTGGAGTTGGAGCGCAGAAATCAATGTCGAGAGGTGAGGAGACGACACCAGAAGCAGTTGCGCCGGCTCATGTTGAGAGTAACGAAGGACTGGAGGATCGTAGACATGCAGATGTCGAGACTCCTCCTGCTCCATCTGACCCTGACGGAGCAAATTCTTCATCCAGTGCCAGGGTTGAGAATGCGCAGCAGACGATCCCAGCAAGAAAGTGGAAGCAGAGGAGCATCAGATGGAGAGACAAGCTGGCGAAACTGGCGAGTCTCCAAGACAAGGACGTGCGAAGTGTTGGGGAAATTGTCTTCAGCGCTGACGTCAGCGCCAACAGCTTCTACCACATCGATCACGGGGCGAAAGGGACTCTGGTGTTTGTGGGGCTGCACAAGAACGGGACCGAGTGTGCGATCAAGCGCATGCAGAGGCTTCAGGTCACTCGCAACATAATCCAGGAGGAGGTGGCTGCGCTCAATCATGCCGGGCTTGATAGATGCCCCTACATCGTAGCCTACGAGGCAGACGCGCAGGACGAGAACTTCGAGTACCTCGCGCTGCAGCTGTGCGAGTGGAACTTGGAGGAGTACGTGCAGGAGCATGGGTGCATCAGGGAGGTAGAGGTGCAGGCGTTCGCTCGCGACATGCTGCAAGGGCTTGCATGGCTTGCAAGGGCCAACCAGGTCCACCGAGACATCAAACCGCGGAACCTCCTCCTCGACACCAAGGGTCGACTGCTGCTGGCAGACTTCGGGCTGGTGAGAGAGATCGGCCACAATGCTTCCTCGGTTCACTCGGGGGAGGCCGGGACGATGGGGTGGATGGCAACTGAGGTGCTGGCCGCCCTAGGCGCTGGATCGGGAGGGAGATGGAAGCACAAGTCGGACGTGCAGGTGGCGGGGATGGTGATCTTCTACATGCTCACGGGCGGGAAGCATCCCTTCGGAAGCAATGCCATCACCACTCAGTTCAACATCCTCCAGGGCAGGATCGTCAACCTGGAGCTGCTCAACGGGAGCTTGCTCGCAAGGGACGCGGTTGAATGGATGCTGACGCCGGACGTTGACAGCCGGCCAACCGCCATGGAGGTGCTTGAGTGTCATCCTTACTTCTGGACCCTCTCCGACGGCTCCCTCAACCCCGAGAAGTGCGCTAACTTTGTCGCCCACATCGCCATGACTCACCAGTGCCGGCACCCCGACACGTTCCCAGCGTGGCATGAATTTGACACGCAGGGCTGTCAGGAGCTGTTCGCCCCCCATGGCGACTGGAACTTAGCTGGAGCCATCAATGCCAAGATCATAGCGAACAAGCAACGCTTCCAGCAGAAAGCTGAGAACGGCAAGGAGTACGTGACCAGCTCAGCTTGCGACCTCCTGCGGCTGATCCGCAACATCCTCATGTACTTTCCTCCTCCTCCTCCCTCCTTGTCTCTGAATCTGCTGCAGGCATCACACCGACGACGACCGAGCGCTGATGGGGCGAAACAAGAGCGCCGCGAGCTACATCACTTCGCGCGATTGGTTTCCAGCGCTGCTAGCTCGGATCTTCAAACTCGTCAGGACTTCGGATCTCCGGCGGCATCCAGATATCATCAACTTCTGCTCAGCATGAGCTGGGGCCGGAAGCCCTCTCTGTACATTACATGAAACTTGCACAGCTTCATCCCTTTCTACAGTACATGAAACTTGAAACTTTCAATCCTCTGCTTTGTCCGTGGCAATCGAGGCCAAAGATCCGCTACGTCGTCGTAGGGCCGGGATTTGGTTGAGTAGCTGGATGGGAATCTTGAGGACGAAGAGCAGGTCGCTGGTCAGGACCTTCCCCTCACCTGCATGCCATCAGGTCACTCGACACCTCTTGCAGCCTCTGACCCTACCAAATGCATCTGCCATGAACCAAAGGGCCTCTGTCTCTTGCATCGACATCTTGAGTTGGATCGCAGAGATGGTAGATATGAAATCTCGCTTGTTCACCATCGCCTGTTGGTCTGTCTGCGGCAAACTCGCTATGACATCGGGGACCTGAGCAGGTTGAGCTCCTGCCCTCAACTTCCAGCTGACCCTCAGCAACAAACTTACCGTCATGTGCATCCGTCGCAGCTCGTCCCAGAACTTGGATCGAGCTCTCTTGACGTTGTCGAGGGTGACCGCCAAGGTCGATCGGATCTCCTCAAGCCCAGCGTCCACCACCTCTTGAGGAGGGAAGAGAAACGGAGGATTTCCTCGCAGAAGTCTGCAAGCATCATCACAAACACGCGTGTTGAGCTGCGACATCACAGTGCTTGTAACGATGACAGGTAGCACATGGTGCAAGGCAACGTGGAGATGTGATTCTTCTCGATGTTGAGGGTGTTGAGCCTGCAAAGGTGCCCGATGCTCGCTGGGAGTCCTCGGAGACGATTCGATCCTACAGACAACTTCCTCAAGTTGGTTAGATTGCCCAGCGACATCGGCAGCGATGTGAGTTTGTTGTAGCTCAAATTGCATTCGACCAGTCTGAGCAGCCGCGTGCAGAATTTGTCCGGCAAGGCTGCAAGAGACTCAAAATGTGACAAAGCATCGAGAACAACCGACACATGTACACGAGGAGATTGAGGGAAAAGGGGTGGGTGGGTGATGAAGAGAGGACGGGAGGAGGAGGCCAGAGGGAAGGTGCTGGGTGGAGAGGGCAGAAGCAAGTGGTGGAGAGGGCAGGAGGAAGGGGTGGAGAGGGCAGGAGGAAGGGGTGGAGAGGGCAGGAGGAAGGGGTATAGGGGGCAGGAGGTCTGGTCGGCTGATCTCTGTATCTCCTACAACAACCTTGAATGTCGTTGGACCTCATGTCGAGCACTTGAATGTTGGAGTTCCGCATCAGAATGCCATCTGGCACCTGCGCCTTGGCGGTCAGGGCTCGGAGGAAGTAGCAGACGCTGAGACCTCGTTGAGATTCTTGCTAAACAAGTCGATCCGATGTTCTCCCTCCCTGCCATGGACGTGAGCCAAGACTCTCGTCCGCCCACCACCATCATGGCATACACTCTAGGCTGATTTCCAATCAGCCCCTTGCTCGGATCATGCTTCTCCTCGGGGTGCAGAGGTTCCGGGTTTTCAAGGCCCTGCAAGTCTCTGATGAGTTTCTTCCTCCGAAAGGACGCCCTCCAGCTGTTCTCAGCGATGTTGAACATGTCACTCTCAAGCTTGTCTGGTTGCTTTCGCTGCGCATCTGAAACATTCATCACATCATCGACAAGCGCAGAGAGAGATACCAGGGAATTGAAATGTTTTAGATTGCGCGAACCCATGCCGAGGCTTGACTCTTTGACGATCTGATGGTAGATGTTTGTTCTTCTCAGAGGCTAGCAAGAGCTTGCGATATTGTTCTTTTAGCTCGAAAAAGAGCTTCCGCTTCTCACGTCCTCCTTTCCTCAGAAAATCTTCTTTTAAATGTTCGTAAACAAGTGAGACTGGATGTGCTTGCAAGCTTTCCGACTTCATAGCACAGCCCCTGCTTTCTGACATGAGAAAATTCTTCATCGCAGACATCAACACGCCTTACACGGTAAACTCCTCTGCCCTGGGGACAGCCAATGCGTCTGCAGCGTGCCTGCTGCTTTGCCTCCTACAGAGCTCAAGTCACTCAAGGGCGGGCCTTGACCCTCATGGATGATTCATACAAGAGTCCCATCAGGGAGTGGCTCTGACTAGTCGAGAGCCTCGTCCTTTGGTTTCCTTCCTCGGCTACTTGCACTGCTGGCCAGGAAGCGCAAGGAAACCAGCTAGAGCTCGTCCCTGTCCTGTTTCCCGCCCTTCGGCAGCTTCTTCTTGAGCCTGCATCGCTAGCTTCCATCACTCTTCGCCGCCCCCGCACTGCTCGTCTTCCTGGAGCAAACAGTGCAACTTGTTCTCTCACCATCTCGATCTACGACCCAATGCTGGTTCTGCCTTCTCATCTTCTCATAAGGTGAGTTAAAACTTACAGTGAACGCCACCGGGTGGCGGCGCGGCCCGGGCCGCGGACCGACGGTGCCGTCCGGGTCCCGGGAGCCGCCCGAGTCAGTCCTGGCCCGGGCCGGGCACCGTGACGGAGTCACCGCCGCTCGCCGCCGCCCGGCCCGGGGGCCGCCGACGGTACCAGAAAACCCTGACTGTTCCCAGTGCAAAGCCTTGATGCGGATCCGATTCCGAGTTCGGAACAAGGAAAGGCAATATAGACTCTTCCGAAAGTCTATTTCGGGGGCGCGCGACGGCCGGGGGGGGTCCGGCGCCAGGCGCCGGCAGCTGCCACAGCCTTGAAGCCTGCCTTACTGGGCCGGCCCGGTAGTACTACCCGCCGTAGTAGGTCAATTTTCGGCGGCGCGGGGGTCCGAGGCCGATCCGTGACTGCCAGCGGCGGCGAGTCAGCCTCTTTCAAGTTTGTACCCCGGAGGACCGCCGGTGCGTCCCGCCGGGCACTGCACGTACGGCGTCCGATCACAACTTGATACCGTCCGTGACGGTCACGCGGAATCAGAGTCATACCTCGGATCTCAGTAGAACTTCAGCGATGATCACGGTAGTTGTGACCGGGCTCAGATGATATCCATGGACCGTCACATCACAATGATTACTCACTCCAGGATCCGTGACTCAGTGACTCGTGACGGCCGCGGGATGATGGGGCAGAAGATCGCACCGCACCAGTCTGAGCACTCAGGAGTAGTACCAAGGCAGGCGCAATGAGGGCGGGGGATAGGGGTTCACAGTGGGTGCGTCTGCTGCCCGTTGTGAAACCAGGCCCAGTGACCCTGAAATATTTTCGATATTACGAGAAGAACTTTTGTACCCAAGTTGCGAAATGACTTGTTTAACCTCAAATATTCACTCAGAACTTGAACACTTCTCACAAAATAATCTTTAATATTTTCAAGTTGATTTCAACTTGAGGATACAAAGGATAAAACCAAACTACAAGTCGCAAAAAGGTACTTCCCTACCCCCTTTACTCTTCTCTGTTATATCCTTTGAACCCTGCGCTGTTGTTCCTCTCCTCGCTCAACTCCCTGCTGGTGACCTCTATTCGCTGCCCCTGATCTCTTTTCCAGCCTGTCTCTCCTCTAACCTCTCTTCCCCTCTCAAATCAAAACTCCCTGCAAGAACCCCCGATATCGATTGCGTGACGATGTCAGACTCTGTCACCACCACCCCTCAGAACGTGCTTCTCTTTCCGCGAAGAAAGACAGGGGAACAGCACATCATGTACAAAGGAAGAAGGCCTTTAGCTATAGACCTGCCAATGTTGGAGAGCTTCTACTCGATGCCTCAGATCCGAGCTGCGCGAGGTTTGGGCGTGTCTCTCACTGCCATGAAGCACATCTGTCGCAAGCTTGGCATCGATCGCTGGCCATATCGACGCCCAAAGAAAACTCGAGCAAGGAAGCAGAAGACTCTGCGAAAGACCACTGCGAGTGAAAGTTCTGCTTCAAAGAAAGTGAAACCACGAAAGCTACCGCCTCATGCCGCTTGGATTGAAAGCGCTCTGCCTCTCAGCAAGGAATGGATAGAGTTGTATATCAATTGCCTTGACAACACTCCAGAGTTTAGCAATGATGCATGAAAGATACAGTCAGAGTGTAAAGAATCTTTCATGTGTTTGAATCGTGTGCTTGTGTTAACTATTGTAGACATTGTTCTTCTCCACTCAAGGGTTTCCTTTTACGAATCAACTGTGCAGGAATTTTTGAATTATGAATACAAATATAATGTTGATTTGTTCTGCATCAAGACACGCCCATTTGTAGATCTGCACAATCTTGAAAGATGTACGATTCGATTCGAGCATCGCATCCGACGTACATAAATGTTCTTACATGACAACGAGCGTGGTGCAGGGACTACATCCTTTTGCATCCCCAACTTGTTCACTTTATATCTCTGTGATTTGGCTTGAACCTGTCGAGCTTGGTTCGGGATTCCTCTGCAAGAGAATCTGTAAGTTTCCGAGAAAGGATGCAGGTCGTCATGGAATTCATCACCGAGAATGCGATGGAGGAGCTGTTCATGATCATGTAACAGATGGATATCAGTAATAAATTATGATGAGGCATGCCAAACCCTCATTGAATTTGCTGCTTGAAATTTTATTTGCAAACTAATATTTCGCAACGAAACCCTTTCGCAAACAATTGTCAAACTACTAAACTTCCTCGTCATTCGTTGGCCTTCGGAGTAGTTTATACTCAACATCCTTCAACCATCGCGTATTGTAGTCATCCTGAGAGCGCATGCCCAGAGTGCTGTATGGCCTTCTTGGCTGTGCGGCTGAATATGGCTGCAAGGGCAGGTGAATATTCTGATTCCTCCCCACTACTTGTCGACGTTTACCTTGAAGATACTAGACTTTCCAGCAGAGAATGTCTTGACTCGATCTTGATGGTTGTCTTTGATCAACTGTGCAAACTCATCAGACTGAATCCAACATGACTTGAAACCATCAGCAAAAGATTTACATCCTCAGACCCATTTTTGGCCGTGCTGTCTTTTGCAGTTGAAAAAAATTCCCGCAGATGCTTCGCTTTGAAACTACACAGCCATGTTACGTGGTGATCTGATGTATCTTGTCAGGTTACCTGTGTCTGCTCTTATCGTCGCTTGCATAGGCTTGTCCTTTCAAAAAGATGGATATGTCATCAACTTCTTTCTGATCGAAAGTCATGGGATGAACTACAAATACTGTGGCATTAACCTGAAGCAGTTTCTGTGATGGAAATTCGGAGTATTCTAGGCTCCCCAAAGACCTGTCAGACAAGGAAAATCGAACATCAAAATAGACAGGATTGATTGAGAGATCTTACCCTTTGGCATTCTGGGAGAGTCTCTCATTGTGCGTTCGAAGCAACTGATCATCAGGTTGTCGAAGATTCCGCAGTTCATTTAGCAGCAGATCTTGATTCTTGAGAGCTGCTTTCTTCTGTGTTTCCAGGTTAACACAGGTCTTTTCAAGGCTCATGACGGTATCTCTGAGAGCCTCATTTTCATTTCGCATCGATGCATATGAAGGATTCAAAGAAGATTGTACGCAATTCATTTTTGCATTTTGTAATGCGTGATTGACTCCAAGCAGTTGCTCGTTCTCTCGCTCTAAATTCTGGCATAAGTATTCATACGATTGATACTTGTGCTGTAAGGCTCTTGCGTTTGCTTCGGTATCCTTCAGTGCTAAATTCAAAGAGGCATTGAGTGCACCAAGCTCATAGTTTTTGAAGGAAAGATTCTCAAGCTCAGACTTCAAAATGGAAACTGTTCTTTCAAGCTCCAAGTTTCTTTCTGTTTCACAAGATGTTTTTCTTAATTGTTGGTCTAAACTGCTTTGCAGTTCTTGCAGCCTATTCTGCAGCAACTGATTTTCATTTTCTTGCCTTGAGATCACCTCGTTCATTTCGTTCTTGAAGATGAGTGAAGTCTTCTCTAGTGTTTCAATTCTGTTCTCGTATTTTGATACAGTTGCTCGAATACATGAATATTCATTCAAAAGTTGCTCAGTTTTCGTTGGCAACAGACTGTAGTCATCCACATTCATAAGTTTGCAGCACAGAATCAACCAATTTTCGGTCGTTTCCAACCTAACCTCCAGAGAAGTACAATTTTTCTCAAGTGCCTGCAGAGAGTGGGAGCAATTTCTGAGCTTCTCTTCATCCACCTTATGCTGTCGATCCAGTTCTTGCAAACAGGAGGAATATTTTTCTTGGAGAGAGGCATAGTCGTGTGAAAGTGCGTCAACCTTACCAGGCAGATCACTTATACTGCATTTCATGAGAGCAGAAACTGTTCGAAGGATATAATCTGATGATTCTACTTGAGCTTTCAATTTTTCGCAGGCAAGCAATGACTCAGTACTCTGATTTGAAGCCATTGTAAGCCTTTCTCTGCACTTGGTCAATTCTTTGTCTTTGTCCATGAATTCCAGGCTTCTTCTGTTCAATTCAGATTCAAGCAGATGCGTTTGCTCCTCGAACTTGTTGACTTTGCTCTGCAGAGTTTCAATCAATCTCTCCCTCGCTCTTGCTTTATCGTGAAGGGTCGAGATCTCAATCTTTGCTTTGCACAAGGCTTCATGTGTCTCGGCGTGGGCAAGCTTTTCTTTCTCAACAAGCTCGAACTCCTCCATTCTCGCTGCTGCGATGTCATTCTCGATTCGACCCATCGCCTCTATCGCCCTACACTCCACAAGATGACTCCGCTGACGTGCTCGAATCTGCTCTACCTCCAAGCTACTCAATATTTGCATCTGTTTGGATATCCATTGATCCATGAAACTAGAAAAACTTGATATTGCTTGATCCACATACGTAGCCGTCTCAAGCTGCCAGTCGTTTCTGTGGGCCTCGAGTTTTCGCAAACGAGCCTGGTATTCTTGCAATTCCTGCATGAGCGCATCCTGAGCTTCGACTGCCATATTCATCCTCGTCTCGTTTGGAGCTGCTCCAAACAGTCTCAGGCTTCAACCTCCTGGCAGGGCTCGTCAGACGGTCCTCGCTCCCACTTCTGCCTCCTCTGAATGTCTGTCCGGCCCTACGCGCTTCACGCTAGCCACTGCTTGCTAGTAAGTCAAAGACAGAGGCGGGCTTACAATTTAAGTTATCAGCTACGGCTCCCGAGTCCCAAAATAGCCCGCCCGGGCCCGCCGCTCAGCGGCTGCAGTGCCAGTGGCGGCCTTTGAACCGGGGGGCGGCGGCGGCCTACTAAAGCCTCCGCCCAGGCTGCGTTGACTCGAAGCCCGCCGGCCGCTGCCAGCCTGGCACCTCAGCGGCCGGCTGGGAACCGTTGAACTGAGTGACGCCGGGTACCGTACTGGTGGGCTGCCAGGCTGATTTTTAACTTAACTTTGCCAGAGTAAAAAAGGTGGGCCTGGTTGCCACCGTGGACGGTCCGATCTTCAAGTTCAGAGTCTCCCGGACCGGGAGTCCGAGCCTCGTCTCGGAGGCCGGCGGGCCGCCCACCGTGGCCGCCGGCCGGCGGCCCCGCGGCCGCCGCCGGCCACGGACGGTCACCGGGTGCGGCGGTCAGTCAGCCCGGCCGTCGCCTACCGTAACCGTGAACTTCAACTCAGAGGCCGTCCGATCCGATCCGATCACTGCCACGCCGGACCGTCCGAGGCTGCCGCGGCACGCCGCTGACCCGGTACCCGGTCACGCGGCGCGGCGGCCGCCGGGGGCCCGGGTCCGAGAGTCGCCGCCGTCCGATCCCTGAGCCCGTCGTCGTTGTAGACGGTACCCCGCGGGGCAGGCGGGGCAGCCCACCGTGCTGCTCCCCTCGCACGGTGACCCTGGGTCGCAGCGGCGCTGGGCGACTCATGATTCTGATCAGACTGTACGACGGTCACGGTATGATCCGGCCGGCGCCGCCGGGCGCCGCCGGCCGCGGGCCGGGCCCCCGAGGCTACTTGAATCATGGACTACAGAGCACGAGTCTGCTGCAAGCTTTAGCTTCCTGGAGTGGTGATGAGTCAATCAAAATAGGATGAACTTAACTCAATGGTGCCTTGAATGCCATGATTCAATGTGATTTGCCCACTGCTGTCCCGAATAACGGTGGCCACATCAAACTTCATCGATACCATGTGATCTTCAATCAGTAGTTCTAAGCGAGATAAGACATAAGAAATCACTCTTGATTCCGACGAAGGTGCGAGTGAGAGTAGTGAACGATCAAAGATTTTATCAAAATTAGAAACAACAAAATGAAAACATGTATTTATACATGCAGTTGTCTTTTGTTTCGGAAAACAAAAAGAGTTGCTCTGCAAGATCTGAACCAAAAAGAGCAATAATTTGGAGAAAAGAAGACTAATTACAAAGATTGAAAGAAGGAAGTAATGGAACAGAATAAGTATGGAGATATCGAATGAGAGGGGACAACAAGAAATCTTGAAACAATCAGCGTACCCGTGTAGAGTGAATGCGGAGAAAAAAGTGAGAGGTGGATAAAGCTAAAACATCGTGACCACGGTGAAAAATGACATAACAGGAAAAATCAGAGATTTCAAGGAGTAGCACAGGGCAGTAGACTGGCAGCACTACTCTCAGCAGTGAAGAAGACAAAAAAAAACTGAACAGGGAGGACAGGGCAGGTGGACAGGAAAGAAGACGGGCAAGCAGATAGAGCAACCTTAGGGTCCAGGCACAGGGCTGAATCTCATTACAGCACCAAGAGCACAAGATGGATCAATGAAGCCATGCTGCGGATGATATTGGACAACAGGATACGTTGTTTTATCTTCCCCGACAGCCCCTTTTACCCCACCCCCAGCCCCACCCCTTCATACCTTGATACCCCCACCCCCTTTCCTCCCAGTAAAGACGTCGCGATACCCTACCCACTCGGACAGATTTCAGGTGCTTCATATATGAAATGGACGAGTCAATTAATGCATTACATCTTCTATAATTCAAAATATGATGAAAGTTTCAAAACCTATGCTAGAAAATTGAATTCATGGGGTAGGGGTTAAATCTGTGGAAGTGGGTGGGGTAGATCAAAGGATCCCATGAGATTGCGATCACGACAGACCTCGGCAAAACTTACAACGGTTCGGTTGGGAGATGATCGCGAGATCAGTCGCATCAAATCTCTTCTGCGGAGATTGTATTTGAAGGGGTCCATCTTGTCATCTGGAAGTATCCTTGACCCCAAAAGATGCTTTTTCAAAGGAATTGATCGCCCGAGCTTCGGCGAGATTGCTCTCAGATTGCTTATGCTACCTTCGCGTTGACCTCCTCTTTGGTTGAAAACAGGGTATTTTGTACTATGGATTTGGGGGTACTGCTAATTTTCCTATGGGTTCATCGCACCAAGGGATGCCATTCGTGTGCGTATCTCAGTACAGCGGGTGAAGCAGACGGGGAAAACAAAGAGAAAAAAAAGACACACAACGAACACAATCTAGGTTTTGCAGGAGTAAGAAATCTCACAACAAAGGCATCCAGCATCGTGTCCTTGCTAAGATCACGGATAGAAAGTCCTACTCCTGGTGGATTCATGAGGAGAGGGTGAGCTTTCTGCGGAGAGCAGTGGCAGGTATGTGAGAAATCGAAAGCAGCAACTGAAAAGAAAGAAAGAAGAAGCACAGCTCGTAGGGCAATTGTTCTGCTCCTGATAGGGGGAAAATTCAATCTGAGGGCTGGACCTGGAGTTGTTGCATTTTTGGATCAGAAGTGGTACGATCCCACATGTTGGCTACCTGAGGGAGATTCGTCCAGCCTCCTGCTATCAACACATTGTCCAGCTGCTTGTCTTCAACTATGCAGGTAGATTACTTGACTGCATCACTTGTGTCTGGTGATCACAGTCAACAGGCTGCCGATTCCTTCATAAACATGGAAGGGGAGGGCGGGGGCAACAACTTGCACTCGTTGCCGATTCCAGAGTCAGTGATCCTACAAGCGATATCTGAGCTTACAGATGGAGCGAGACTCGCCGTTGAGACATGCTACGATCTATGGAAGGAGCAGGTTGATGCACGTGGAGGGTTTTGAGTGTTTGTGACAGTTTTGGGCCAGAAATTTGGGACAGAAGAGTTTATCTCTTTCATCAAGTGCTACTCATCCCAGAGCAGTACACTAGCTCAAGTGTTCAAAGATGGATCTCAATATCCTGAGATAAGTGCTTCTTCCACCGGAGGCTCTGTGGATGCCATGACTGGTTGTTCGAGTGACACCTTCTCCTCGAAAAGTCTTGGTAGCGTCGATTGCTGAAGTATGCTTGAGCTGTCTTGACTGAAGTGACAGAGAAAGGACTCTTGTCAGCTTCAAAGAAGCAGAAGGATTCTTCTGGATCATCTCCACAGACAGCAGGATCGGATAGCGATAAGGGGAGCAACGAGAAGGGTTACATGGCATCGGCGAGCGAGTCCAACGGGCACAGCTCCAACGGGCACAGCTCCAACGGGTGCGAGAGCGGAAACAGGTGGGGCTGCTCGCTTTGATGTGTGGACTCTGAGATGAGCTGTGTCAGTTCCAATGGGCATGGCAGCAGCTCTCATGGAAGTGGGAGCACAAGTGGAGGGAGCAGTGGAAGCGACAGGTGAGCAAGGAGTGTTGAATTGGTGATTGCTGAATGTCGCTTGTATGAAGTGCGGGGAAAGACAACTCGCCTACAAATGAAGATTTGACGAGAGTCGTTGTTTCTCGACCCAAAAGAAGTTCTTCACAGGCAAGACAACATCTGATTTCACCACATTACTCTGCCTTTGCCTTTGCCTGTCCGCTTCTTCCCTCTGCAGCTTCTCCGGAATTTTGAAATTTACGTCACAGAGATCTCTCCGAGGCAATGAAGCTTCGAACTCTGTTTCAAGTTCGAATCAAGATCCTGCCAAGAAGGGGCAGGTTGTCAGGATGGATAGATGCAGGGGTTGAAACTGACGGGTGAGAAGCAGGAGCTTGATCGTGAGACAGCTTCCCGGAAAAGACAAGCAACTTCTGAGACGTCCAAAGGTAACCGTTGTCGCATAGCTGATACACACGTGGATAAATGCAAGAAAGAGTACTCGGATACTTGAAATGACATGAAACGATCCAGGTAAGGATGAGTCAACCTCTCAATCGGGAAAGGGAGCAAAGCATGCTGTCTCCAGCCACTTGAAACGTCCACGGTCAGGAGGTGAAACGTGGAAGTTGTTTGACCATCCAGTGCTCAATGTGCTTCAACAGCCGAAGCTCTCTTTGAATGGAAGCGACTGCCAATGACAGAGGAAAGTGAATCGACTCAACCAGGTCCCCTGTGCTTTGTTGTGCGCCTAACTTATCTGAGTGACTTCCGCTGTACAGATAGCGAAGCTGTCTTCGACAAACCATTTGGCGAGTCTGAAATCAAAGAAGGCGAGGGAAAGAGCAAGTTGGCCATGGAGCATCGGTGGGTGCCAGGAATGCAGATGGACAAGGATGGGATGCCATTCATGACCAGCGCCAGCGCGCAAGAAAGCTCAAGCCTGGATCTTCAGAACAGATGGTCGTCGAAGTTGGCGATCTCAGAGCTCGGAGAGGTTCTCACGACAAAAGCGAACACTGCAGCGGGATGTAGCAACGTCACCGTACGTGTCTTGAGCAACGTGGAGAAGCGGCTGTCGTTGGGGAAGGTAGATAAGTCGCTCAAGATGATGGGAGACGATGCTGCGAGAGGCGAGGTGGTGTACATGAACAAAGCTGTGTTTGCGTTCCAGCACGTCAAGGGCGCCGATGTGGTCATCTTTGGCATGTACGTCAATGAATACTGGGCAAACTCAGCGCCAAATTATGCAGGGAGAGTTTACGTGGAGTGCTTCGATAGTCCTCCCGTGTGGCCTGGATTGCCTGGAGCAGAGAGACATGCCATCTTGACTGCAATCATGCAAGGATACATCGACTTTGCAGCTTCGAACGGCTTCAAGTTCATGTAATAACCTACCTCTCTGCCTCCCCTTGTTTGACCCTGTGCTCCTCCCCCCTCCCCTGTCTTCCAGATCTCTCCCTCCCTACTTCCTTTTCTCGCAACTGAGATCTGTCTTCAGGCATCTTCATGTTCCGCCTCCTCAGGACGCAACCAAGTATATCTTCGTTCAGCGCTCGCTCAACTTCAGGCTGAGAGTGACCATGCACCTCTCGTAAGATTGACCTGCTGCCCCCTAGTCTCACGTTTTCTCACTCCTGTCGCAGCTGTTGGTACAAGCGCATGCTCGAGTCCGCCACGGCCCTGGGGCTCATCTCGAGCTTCCACTGTGGATTCTCTGGCGACGATGTTCCTCAAGGGTTGCTGGACGTGAGGAGGAGGGAGGAGAAGGAAAGCTCCAACTCGCCTATCCTAGCTGAGGGTGTCGGTTCAGCGTCGTGGCAGTGCAAGCATGGTGAGCGACTTGTGATGTCGGCGCTGCCGTCTAATTGTCACTCAGGCTGCTTCAACGAGCGCTTCTTCGTCGCAGGTCTCCGACCAGGACGAGGGAGCCTGCGGGACACGATCCCAGTGATGCCCAACAAGATCGTCGGCAGCCGGCTGGACTGCTGCAACTTCATCAAGGAGAAAGGCCTCCAGTTCCACACGCTGTCGCATGCTCAGTATGCCACCATGGTGCTGGTGCACTGCATAGCCAGCGAGCAGCGCTCGTATGGCTTCATCGACCCGCGAGCGTCGCCGCACCTGCATGCGTCATCGCTGGTTCATCAGAGCGCGCGGCGTCTGGAGGGGACGAAGAGAGCTTCGCCTTTCCAGACATGGTGGAACCCAAGTCAGGTGAATGCGGAGATGGCAGCAGGCATCAGCAACTTGCCGTCCCACCCTCCCGAGTGGGAGCCAGCGGCCCCGCTGACTTCCCATGCGTTCGTGCTCGTGAAGTCCGGGCGGGGGAGGAACGATCCGAAAGTGCCGCACGCGGGCATCTCACCGTCATGGATGGGCGTCGGCGGGGTTGGTCCTCCTGGAATACACCCGGGGCACACTGAGATGATGATGACGCAAGACAGCAGGATGCCGATGCCCAAGGATCCGTTCCAGCACGGGTGGAGCATGTACAACGCTCAGATTAACCCCGCGAATCAGATGTATCCCATCGCTCCTGCCAACGTGGGCATGTCGATCCCTATGCCCATGAGCGAGATGTTTGACGGTCATGCCTCTCCAGCCGTCAGCTTGCAAGCTGATGCCCATAAGCGAGCGAAGGAAAGTGCCTCTTCTAGTTCTTCAAGTTCTGAGAAGAAGCAAAAGAAGAAATCCTCGAGCAGAAACAAGACGCCAAACGTGCAGGTGCCGGTGGCAGTGGCTGCATCAGAATCAACGTCTGCTAGGAAAGATGAGAGAAGCGATGCAGCTGCATTGATGAAGAGGAGCATGCTGTCGGAGCTGCAGGAGGAGATCGGTGTGGAGGACCCGATGCTGTGCTCAGCGGACGACGTCATCCTCCAGTGCGAGGAGCTGACCGTCCCTTCCCAGATGGCCTCCATCAGTGGGCGTGAGGGGATGGGCCTGTGCGACATGGACGCCGGAGTTTCATCCAGCAGGGATGGAGGTGAGAGTGAGTTTGCTCTGCTCCTGCCAGAGCGCCGTGCTCATGCCGGGAACGCAGGCCTCGACTGCGCCATCACGGCAATGCAGACAGTGGAGGATGCGAGCAACTTGAAGAGTCTGGACGTGAAGGGCCTCGACAGCCACTGGTCGCCTGTCCCCAACTTCTGGTCTTGATGCTCGTCACTGCCTTCCGATCTTCTCAGTCAGTTGGAAGTGGCACCGTGAAGCTTTGAAGTCCGAATTATGAAGCCGCTGGTCGTACGGTCATGAGAGTCAGCTGTTAATTCGTTCAACCGTTACTGTACCTTACTCTCTCCATGTAAACTGATGTTCTTGTAAACATACGTACGGTTCTACTTGCCACCCGGTATGGGCCCGGCAACTTGCCACCCGGCGTCTGACTCAGTCACTGGCCAGTGCACGGTGTCCGAGTGTGGCGGCTCTGGCCGCTGAAGTTTGGTCCCCCGGGCCCCAGTACTACCGTACCGAAGTACTCACTGGGACTGCCACTGGCCGCATGTACTGTACTGGGCCCGGGGCACCGATCACGGATCATCGAGTCCTGGACTCCGGGATAGTACACGGCACGGTCACGTGCCACGGTGATCGGACCGTCCGACCGTACCGTCACACGTCACTCCGACTGAGCCGGACTGGGCCGCCGGGGTGCCACGGAGCCAAGCCTACGGTCGGAGGCTCAGGGTGGTACTAGTGACTTTGGCAGTCAAGTGGCCGCCGCCCCGCCGGCGGCCCGGCCCGGCTCACTGACTGAGGCGAGTACTAGCCGGGCCGGGGACTGGGGCCCGGCCGCCGCGGAGTCACTGTCCGGGCCTGAGTCGGAACTGCGGTAGCCGTTCTTTAACTGAAATGTAACGCATGGTCATAACGGTTTTTGGAAGTGTAGTAACGGGAATGGCGGCGACGCTGCATACGTCGCTGGGAGACATCAAGGTGGAGCTCTTCTGTGACAGAGCCCCGCAGTCATGCGAGGTAAGAAGCCGCATGCGGTGAATTTGAGAGGGAGGAAGGGATGGCGGAGGAAGAAAGGTCGTAGGACGGGAGGCTAGGCGGGCTGAATCGCTCTGCTGCAATGTGCCCTGCGATGCTGGGCGATTCTTGACATGTTATGTATTACAGAACTTCTTAGCGTTATCAGCTAGTGGATACTACGACAATACAGTCTTTCATCGCAACATCAAAGGTCTCTCACGCTCAACTTGCTTCACAAGAGTTTACCCCGTGCCAACCAGGTTTCATGATCCAGGGAGGAGATCCCACTGGTGATTCATCTAAGCAACCTGCCTTGTCAAATCTGCATCTTGACGGCTTGTTCGCCAGGAACGGGAAAGGGAGGAGAAAGCATTTTCGGCAAGACGTTTGCCGACGAGATCAAAGAGGACCTCAAGTTCTCTGCCCGTGGGATGTTAGGAATGGCGAACAAAGGGCCGGACACGAACGGCTCACAGTTCTTTATCTCGTACACGAAGCTTCCTCACCTGAACATGAAGTATCCTCTGTTTGGCAAGTGAGTGGCTGAGCATCCCTCCCTCCCCCTCGTCACCTGTGTCCGCAGAGTCATCTCTGGGTGGGAGACGTTGGACGCGATGGAGAAGGTGAGACGGGATGATCCTGTGATGATTGACGCCCGTCACATAGGTTCCAGTGGGAGCGAAGGATCGACCGGTGGAAGAGATCAAGCTCAAAGTAAGCAGAACTTGTTGCTCTCTACCTCTTGACTTACGTGGATGCGGTTCAGTCTATCACTATACATGCAAACCCGATTGCTGATGTTGCAATACAATAGAAGACTAAACTAAATCAACGACTTTCGAAGATGTAAGACTAGTAAATGCTCGCAATCCAGCGAGGCTGCCAGGAGTGATACGATTGATACTTAAGCAGCAAGAAGGTAATGTGGATCATTACGTGACTCTTGCGTTCGGTAGAATAGCTGCCAAGTCTTCTTCACAGACAAGACCTGATAGCATCTGCTCCCCCTCTTCACGTGTTTTGACAACGTGTTTGCAAGTGTTGAATGCACAGATAGCAGCCGGAGGCTTGAAAAACATGCCATGCGGGTCCTTGGCCCCCAAGTAGATGAACCCATCTTCGAGCAAGATCAGTTTCGCGTCTCCTGTCTGCGTGTGCTTCACGACGATGCAGGTGCTGAGGGGCATCACTGTCCAGTTCCCATCCTTGTGATAGAGGATCGTTCCTTGCCCTCCAGTCTCATCGGACTTGGCCGCCTGCCATCCCTCGCTCATCATCCTCTCCTCGCTGAAGAAACGTCGTCCAGGCCCAGCCCTCATGGCGTTGTAAAAGTCTGGCGCCATGAAGAAGTCACCGGTGACATGCCCGTTGATGAAGGCGACGTGCCCCGGGCAGTCGTACGAGAAGTCCTGCATGTGAGGTAAATCAGTCACGATGCTGAAGATCTCGCTGGTAAGGAATCGGAAGAACCCAATACACATGTAGTGATCCTCTCCATGTATGATCTCCACCCCTATCCCGTTCTTGACGTTCCTGAACACCGTCATCTGCGTGTCTCCTCCCGTGACCAGCGTGTCCGACGGGTCCCTGTCGAACCTCGCGGCGACGTGCGTGCAGTTGAAGCTACCGTTGTAGCTCGTGCTGATGTCAGTGATGACCTCCCACGATGGCGCGCAGCAGCTGCTGTTCTGTGCTCGAGGCTCATCTGATCCTCCTCGTAGCCCCAGCCGTGTCTCTGAGGCACGGAGGCTCCTGGACAGGAAGACAGTCCTCCTCAATCCGAGTGGGCTACCATTGGGCGTTACGGTCTCGGTAGAGTGAAACGATCCGCAGGAGACGGCGATGATTAGGAGGAGGCAGCAAGAGACGTGCTGGTCAAAGCTCCTTAGCATCCCCTGCATGAACATCAACTGCTACACCAACAACCCGCAGGCCGCAAACAACCCCCCCTCCCCCTCCACACACCCCGTCCCCCCGCCGCCCTAAAATTTGCAGCCATCCCTCATCTCACTACTTGGAAGGGGGAGACAGCATCTGATAGACATTTTCACCATATGACGACTTCCTTTTCATCGTCTCTCTGCTCATGGTTGACCCCGCTCCTCTCCCTCTCGCTGCCATGGCAAGATCAGCCTTTTACTTCCTTTCTTACTGTGCAAACACTGAGATTTTCTTTGTCTTGTCGAACCTTTTCCTCATCTCGTCTCTTCTTCTCCTACACCATGTCATCCTCCTCCTCTCCCGATCTCTGTCTCTGTTTCTGCATCCCTCAGCCTCCTCCCTCCGATCTCAGTTCTCTCATGGTATCGATATCGTTCCTCCTTGCAAACATAAACCATGGGCGGAGCGCCCTGACACGAAGCAATCGTGGCCGAGCGGTTAAGGCGAAGGACTAGAAATCCTTTGGGGTCTCCCCGCGCAGGTTCGAGTCCTGCCGATTGCGATCTTCTTTTTCAATCTGCTTTTTTATTACGGTCCGCCATCATCCGTGGTTCCCTCCCCGACTGGCGTCGTCACAGAGATGGCGAACAAGGCTGTGGAGGACAGCATGCAGGAACACTTGGCGAGGAGACAGGAGCGGCCTGTGCATGGCCATAAGGAGGTTGACGCTTCATGGATGTGCTCCCTTTCTCCTCGAATGCTGTAGAGGCTTTCCTCCTTCGTGCATGTTGCGAATGCCCGCACAATGAAAATTAATGTCTAACTGAAGGGCAACATTTTGTGAGGCAGCGATGAAACGACGTGTTAGGAACCATGAGAGTGAGGCTCTGCCTTCTCCTCTGTCACTTGCCGGCAGAGCTTGGAGGGGAGGGGAGGGGCAAGAGCTTTACTCAGCTCTGCTGAGGTTTGTTTCAATGATCCTTGTTCTGATAGCAGTCTACACCACAATGTTAGGAAGCCTCTCTCAGCAGGTAGCCACGCCATTTCAAAATCTGTACTATGAACATGATACTCAAGTTCTGAATCAGAGCAGAATGGCTCTCCAGCGCTTTCGTTCCATGGGCATAATGCCGAAACTGGGCCTCACAGCAGGGAACTACCACTATATGGACGGTTCTATCTGCACGAACTGCGCACTTCGTCTGAGAAATCTTTGCGGGTATGAGACCAAGAATGCAACAAGACCTCCATTGGAGTTGCTCTTTCCCGGCGAACTCTCATCGCGCCGGAACCTGAACCAGCGAACTCTGTGCTTCCTGTGGTATGCGAACGTGATGTGGTCAAGAGCAACCGGAGGCAAACTTGGGTTGATGATCTCACGGTTAGGGGCAGGAATAGACAACAAGGTCACATTCTTGGAACGCATGCAGCAATATGAGGAGAAATACAACTGCAGGCCGTTCCAATCCTATCCTGTCACGTTAGATCTGAACGATTCGCGTAATTGCCAGCGCTTCTTGTACAGGAATGACTTGTTCGCCAGAAACGACAGCGATTTGTGGTTCTTGAAGGCTTCAAACGGCTCTACAGGCCGGCACATTCATCTCAGAACGAGGTATCAGATCGATCAGCTAGCGAGGGAAAACAAGAACCTCTGCCCTCGGCCGGGAACCGTAGCAAGCCTCTCAGTGAGCAGGCTGTGGACGATCGACAACAAGAAGTTTGATTGCAGAGTGTATATCTTGATTGCATCCTTCCAACCGACGTTGGTCCTGTTTCATTCTGGCCACCTTCGTTTCTCCGCTATCAACTTCACAGCCAGTGTCAAGGATGATCTAAAGATGGAGGCAGGTGATTGGTTGTCCGGTGTGAAGATCGACCCTGAGAAGGACAGGCTGCTAGCAAGGCACATCACAAACCCGAGGTTTGGAACGTCTCACACCAACGACACCAGTCGAGTCATCCGGCCGTTCGATACCCTCCGCAAAGAACTATTCCAACAATGGGGGCCCGAGGAAGGAAAGAAACTTTGGGCGAGACTCAATCGAAACATTCGGAGAGCTGTTCTTAGTGTTTTCTTTGCGATGAAAGGGTTGTTTCTGCAGTCGCAGTATTACAACAGGTCTCTACTTCCCTCCGCCTGCTTTCTTGACAGGTTCACTTTCAGGTGGGCCTTCGCCATCATCGCCTACGACATCGCGATCGACCAAGACCTCAACCCCTTCGTGCTTGACATCAACAGCGGGCCCTCTTTCTACCATGGCCACAAGTGGCCGACGTGGTGAGCAAGATTCAGTTGCGGCGGGAGGATCTAGTGATTGACGTGAATTCAAGGTTTGTGAAAGAGAGAAGCTTGCTCATACGTTCGGTGAGTCTGAATGAATGGAAACTCCAACTTGTGCTAAACTTTTGAGGGTAGGCGATGGATATTGTACAACATGTCGCATTTCTCAAAGTTTCTGAAGATTCCCTTGTGCTGCTGGTGTGACTGACTCTCCGCCCCGCAGCTTGCAGGAAATGAATCTCTCCGGCGCCTCCAGGTAACGATCCCATTTTTTTCCGGCTCTGTCCGCCTCATGACAAGCAATGGAAACAAGGTTGACAAACCCTGGGAAATGATCTACGAGGATGCTCCCCAACATTTTACCAGCCGAAACTCATTAGAAGATGGCGAATGTCTCGCAACATCCAACGAAACAAAGTAACAGAAGACGGAAAGACATGCTAAATTACAAGAGTACTTTGCTATTCAGGCTCAAGAAGTTGCAGTGATGTCATTCTGATTCAAACAATTCTGTGAGCGGCACACCCATACAATCAATATCTTACCACATTCACCAATGTATTTTGCTGGCCTCAATTCTATCAAGTTTTGACAATCATTCTTGACAAAATGATGAGTGACGTCCTCTTTTTTCCTCGTGTTTAGGCTGCGTGCTCGAAGTTTTCTCTGCCTCTCACGAAAATCTGGAATTTCACCAACCAGTTCCTTTAGCTGAACTTGCCGTCAAAAACGTTAACGAGACAACCATGCGACTCACCAACTTGAGGGAGCTCGGAGGCATTTTGTATTTACGTGTCAAGATCACATTCCGAGTGCTGTAAACTTTCGTTAGCCTCCTTCCCCAAAACTTCAATCTGAGCAAACGTCCTTACTAGGCTTACCAAAATGTTACAGTGTTGTAAGGAACGGATGTCCGAAGCACTTCCAGGTGCTCGAAACCCTCGGGCAGTTGTCCTCCACCGAATACTTTGATTCCATCACACTTGTCGCGTTTGGAACGGTCAGTCCAGAATGCCAACCCATGCTTGAAGATGACGTCTCGACACGTCATTGTTTGTTCGTGGAATGGGAGGAAACTGAACTGAGCAGGAACCAAAGTGTGCTGGTAGCTTTTCTTTTCAACCTTGCACAAAGCAAAGTCAGCAAGACCTTCCTCTAATGCAGTCACGAATACCGTGAGGGTCACGGTGGTGCCGCAAGGTCCCAGAACCATGCAGAGGACCTGCGCAAGAGTCTTGTCCCCAACGCAATGCCCGTCGATCTTCTTGATTACATCTCCTGACTGCTCGCAGAAAGTTTCAATCATGAGCATGAAGCTCACACGAGTGTACCTCTAAGCTTTCCGAATCCTTGCTTTCGCATCCTTCCACGAATCCTCTTACGATAAAATTTTCTAATTCACCAATCTTCTCCACGTCCACCTTTAACCCTATCCCGTAGAATTCATCGTTGTTGCTTGGCAATTCGATCGCGCTCTTTTCTTCCTTCATGAAATTCGAGCTGTTTGAATCCCCAGAACCGGTATTTGAATGGAAATCTGCCATGAACGTTACATGAATTCGTTTGTTTCAGAGGTCAATGAACAAGGAATTCATTCCATTTGCACTATGCTGCATTCCCCCACGATTCCATAACCCTGTCGACCTATAACCTAACTCTTGGAGACTCTCTTCTTCCCATGTCTAGTTTTTCTTCATCGACATTTTGAACAAGTATTCTTGCTTTGTCCTTGTCCAACCTTCTTCACTTTCATCCTATCTCTTGTTCCTGGGGAAGGAGCATCTTCTCTTCTGAGCGTCTCCTCCATTCCTCCCCAGCCTGGACAATCCTGTCTGTGCTCCCTCCGCCATTCCTCTTGCTCTCCCGCCTTCCTTCTCCACCTTCTATCCCATTGGCGCCTCCTTCTCCCTACCCAGTTTCGCACTCACCCACCCCTGATCTACCGCAACCACGTGAAGTCACAACAAGCCAATTCGACACCTCTCGGTCTACCCCGTCCTGTGAGCTATAGGACCCATAACCCCTCCCCGTGATGTCAACCCCCACCTACCTACCATGAGTAACTTCGGCAGTGAGTTTATGCGTAATTCAGTGACCCCTCCACTCCTAGTTCAGCCCCTCAGTCACCCCCTACACTACAGTCGAGGGTTGTCCGATCATCCACCCGTGCCTGACTCAGGGAAAAGTACCCCTTCCATTGAAGGAATCGACCTAGTGGGTGCTGATGTACCCTACCCCCATGGCCCTCTTCGTCAACTTTCCACCTGCGTTGCCTCGTCCAACCTGATCCACTTTCACCCCCACCCCCTTTCTCATCTGCTACTACCCACCTTTCTGAGAGGCGAGGTGCAACATTGGCTAACGATCAGTTTACAGTCAACTGAGGGGTGGCCCGGCGCTACTCGAGTTGCCCTTTGCCCCCCAGATGGTCAACCATACCCTCGATCACCTCAGTGAGCCGCCCGGCACCGGTCCTGACTCGGCCCAAGGCTAACCCGGCGCCGCCGGGCGGCCGCCGGGCCCGGCCCGGCCCGGCCCGGCCCGGCGGTCGGACAGCGAACCCGGGGCGGGCTTGGCTATCGGCAAATTGTTCCGAAGGGTCCCAAAATGGCGGGAGACAAGTTGAAAGAGGACGACGACGACAGTAGGGAGAGGCAGGTGCTGCGATATGTTGACGGCAGCATGGACGGCAACATGCGTAGAACGACTGAATGGCAAAGTTGAACAGAGTGCGGAACGTAGCGAGAGGATACAATTTCCTGCTGGTTCAAGGGAAAGTTGCTGATGCCGAGCATGCCAGGTGTATGGGAGACTGAGGGGAGTGGGAGGGGTTTTTCACCCTATCAAAGCATCACCAGGCTGTGTGAGAACTTTTCGGAGAGGAGGGAGAAGGAAGTTTCCCGTCTTGTCTCCAGAGCGTACGATGTCTTGTTGTTCGGGCCAGTGGGCGACCATGTGAGTGCGTCCTATGTTGAAGAGAACGTGGAGATGTTGGGATACTCCCATCGCCAACATGGGGACACGGACAGAGAAAATGCGCTGAAAATGATTCTCGAGAAGCTGAAGTGTAACGTCGCGTCTCTGAACGGAGATGAGTCCGTTTGGAATGTTGCCATGGTCCTGCTGATGCTCCGCAATACCGACCACGCTTCAAACATGCCGGCGCAACAGATGCGCAAGGAACAAGATCTTGCTGTCATACCTGCGTTAGAATGCTCCGAGTTCTCTATGATTCATCCGCAAACTTTTGATTCGGTAAATTTGATTGGACGATGCGTTAGTTTTGACCATAGTAACAGGACAGCAAGCTTTTCAGTCACCATTTTCAACAATACTTCTCTTTCGATGAAGTCGCACAACAGCGATCACCAAATTTTGAGGTCCATGATGTTGATTGTTACAAGGATTTTCCTTCCTTAGATGCAAGCGAGCCGTTCTCCTATGACATCCTCCTCCGCGTTATGACATCGCGCTCTCGCCCATACCTCGATGTCGATGTTTCGACCTCTCAAAAACTGAAGGCTCTCCAGACAAGCATTCTGATCACCGGTGATACGCACGTTCATCAACCCTCCTACAATAAGAATGGTATTGAAGGCTTGAATTCCGATTTCAGTGAACAGAAAAACTGCTACTGGGAGGATATGGTACGGAATGCAAAGTGGGGACAGCAAAACCCAGCAACTCAGTTGCCAATCAAAGAATATGAATCGTTGTGCCGCTATCATCTTCCTGATGGAAGTGATCAGTTTGCATCCGAAGATATGATAGATGATAAGCAAGTCTTGCGAGATCTGAAGTATCTTGCCTTTGGATTTGCCAGTGCAGTTTTCAAAGGAGACAAGGAGAGTTGTACTTTCTGCTTGAGGAAACCTTGTCGGTTGAAAGGAAGGTCAGTGACTCAGACTACATCTCTGCTGGGTGAGATGTGCGATGCGGGAGCACACGTCGTCATGATCGAACAGTTCATTTCGAGACACCTTTCAACTAACGAGAAGGTCGGCCTTGATTTCAGCTTTTGATTTTCTTGTTCAGATGGTCCTGACTGCATGGACAGGTTGTCAATTCCTTCTGCGGTGTTCTCTCGGAATATTTGCGATTCTACAGAGAAAAGATGATAAACTTGAGCGCAGCTATCCGGAGGCGTAGGGTGAGGAGCAAGAAATCCAGGGTGGAGCTCGATGCTTTGGGGAACCAGATAGTTGGAAACGAAGATTTTAAGGAAAATAGTGACACAAGTGCAAAGCATCACGGGATGGCAGTCAACACAGAATCTACAGTGATGGAGATCTACTGTCATACTGATCGCTTTCGACAGCAACTGCGTTTGTTGCAATTTGTTTGTTCCGATGTACAGAGAGCCCACGCCAGCGCCAAAGGATTGAAAAGATCTCAGCTCCTTCTCAACAGACTCTACACGCTGATAGAAGACGATGCCGGTGACAGCGTGTTGAAGAAATGCCTGTGCCACACAATGCACCCCTACTTAGAGACCCTCTCGAGATGCGTAAGTTCGCTCCTTTCCACGACTCCTTCCCTGGCGTGTTGACTGTTTTACAACAGCTCTTCTTTGCCGAAGTCCCTGAGGAAGGGGGAGAATTCCTCCTGATCCACGATCGGTCGGTTCCACAAGGCAGCGAGGATCATTACTCCAAAGCATTCCAGCTCAAGTCGGAAGATCAGTGTCCTGATTTCTTGAAGCCCATGAGGGAGAGAATTCTTCGGACCGTACAGGGGCTCAGTGTCCTAAGGAAATGCAAGCCTTCTCATCCTCTGGCTAAGATTTCCTTCCGGCCGCCTATGAAGCTCTTCTACAACTGGAGCGATGTTCTGCGATTGACAGAGTACCATCGGAGATTCCATGACGTGATTGAAAAGGTGGCGATAGCACAGGCTAAGAAAGAGAGGAAGAAGCTGAGAAAGCAAGCGGAACTGGCTCGACAAGGTTTCCGAAGGAAGATTCAAGAGCTCGCGTCCACCTACAGATCCATCGAGCAACGGGAGGCACTCGTCCTCGAAGCTGCGCAACGTGAGAAGGAGCAGCAAAGGACAGAGTTGAGGGATCAGGTAGAAGAGAGGAGAGCCAGGACGAGGAAGAGCGAAGCCCTGGAGAAGGAGGAGGAGGAGAAGACTGTCAATCAGGTCGATCGCTTCGGGGCTTCTAGTGTGGAGGAGCTAGCTGCACTTAAGGAGAGAGCAGCGCAAGCCATTATCGAAGAGTACTCCTTGCGGGTTGAGCGGCTGAGAGATGAGGAGAGGAATGCGACATGGAGCGCGAGGAGGAAGAGACTGCAAGACAAGCGGATTGAGCTGGCGATCAATGACATGATGAAGCTGAGGGACCAACTTTTGCGTCGACATGAAGGCAAAAGTGAAGAGAGCAAGGATGAACGTGGATCGACTGCTGCACCAGACGTTGATCTCTCTGTGCGCACCACTGCTGAGCATCTCCCGACGGAAAGGAAATCTTCCAACGAAGATGTTGGGGGGAAGGAGGAGGAGGAGGAGGGGAGCATGCGAGAGGCACAAGCTTCAAAATCTCTTCCAGATCAGCTGGTGGATTCCAGCGCAACAGAAGAAGCGACTGCTGGTGAGATGAGCATAACGCCATGGCTGGACCGAGTCCACTCAGTTGCAAGAGACGCCGAAGAATTCTGTGAAGAGCTTGCTTTCCGCAGAGTTGCAGGACCAGCGACAGATTCCGCACGCGAGGCATCAGAGCAGGCGGCAAGGAAGAGAATTGACTTTGGAGGGCCACAGACGGAAGATTCTACTGGCGATCAGTCACAGATCTCTCTGATGGAGCTGGAGGCTTTGCAAGAGGACTCTTCTGATGATGAAGATGACCAAGAGGATGGTGAAGGGGAGCCGAACTCTGTTGACATGGACTCGCTGGAGTCCGGAACGAGATCTGCAGAGCCCCTCAACTTCGAAGAGGAGGAGGGGGGGGACTACAACACCCCTATCCCCGTGGCGATCGAGCACTGTATTGTTAACCCCATCCTCCTGCAGTACAAGCAAGTCAGCAAAGAGATTGTTCGGGTTTTCCTGGACGACCTTGAGTTGGAGCGACACCTTCGAGCGCTGCGTCGCTACTTCTTTGCCGAGGACGGGCTGTGGGCGCGAGGGCTGGCACGAGGCGTTTACTCGCAGGATGGTTTTGTCTACGGCACTGTCCTGCAGAGCTTGCAGCACATCCTGAAAGAGGTTAGGAGCAGCTCAGTCACCTTGCCCTTGTCCCCTCCTCCCGTTCCCTCATCGTTGTTCCTCCATCTTCCCTGTTCTCTCTCCTCTCTGTTGTGTTCCCCTCTCAACTCTGTCTTACCGCTCGTGCTTTCGTTCTTACTCGCATGTCCAGGCGCTGGTTGAGAGTCGTTTGGACTCAGACCCGTTCTCACGCAGACTGTCGTTGCACCAACAGCTGCAGGACGACAAGCACTCGCAGTCTTTCCTCTATCTTTCGTATGAGGTCCTGAGCAGGCGGTAGAGGCTCAACTTCCCCTGATGTGGAGCAGGTGGAATGGCCGCTAAGCATCATCATACACCGAGAGAGCTTGATGAAGTACCAGAGGGTCCTTGGGTTGGTACTTGAGATCCGAAGGTCAGTGCACTTCCCTCGCAACCTCTACTAACAGACATGTGGGCAGAGCGCTTGACTGCTTGTCGACTGCTTGGAAGCAATTGAAGGTGTTGTGCCGTCACTTAGAAATTCACACTTTTACAATCCTTTCAGAATTTGCACTCCAAACATCACCCGCACGCCCACACGACCTGCCACGCGCTCCGGCACCAGATGCTGCACTACGTTACCATCATGCAGGCGAGGGTTGATGTCGGTTGTGACGAGAGTCTGACGGTCTTGCAAGGGATACCTGCAATCTCAGATGATGCACACGAGTTGGAAGGAGTTGCTTCAGGTCATGCACCATGCGTCATTCCTCTGTCCTGCTCCTTCCCTCCCTCTTGTCTTGGCCCTCCATCTGCTGTTACCTTGTTCGTCGCTCCTCCCCTGCTCTTTCCTGCCTCTTCCCCTTCTTTCCATTCCTCTCATGAGGCAAGCAGGGTCTGCGGGAAAGCGAGAAGATGCAAGATCTGCAGGACCTGAGAGAGAAGCATGACACTTATCTAGCAGCGGTGACAGACAGAGCTTTGCTCAGGTTTGATCTTTTTCTGCTTCTTGTGGCGACTCTGATGAGCGTTAGCGAGCGCACATCGTCAGTGTTGGAGATCGTTCGTGCAGCTTTGTCCTCCGTCATTGACTTCAGTCGAGCAGTGGATAGATTTGCAGAGCATCCTTCAGGTCCTCTGCATGACTTTCTGGATGAGGTCGAGGATTCTCTTGTCTGAGCTTGGAGGGGGAAGTGACAAGTTTGCACAACAGGTGAAGAAAATTCAATCGAGCTTCGAGAACAGTACCGGGTTTCTGGTGAGATCAGAGAAGTTGTGTGGAGATGAGATGAGGACTGGTGATGAGAATGCTGACATCGATAATGATGGAGAAGACGATGATGTTTGTAACGGTTAGAGTGGTGGAGAGGGAAGTTGTGGTAATAGCGACGAAGGTAACGATGATGCTTGCAGCACAAGGTCATATATCTCATGCTTCAGAAGGGAAGGAGCAAACAAGCTCACTTGCAGGTGAAGTGCGGAGAGTGTGGACAACAATGCATTGACTGTGTTACAGGACTTGCTGATTCGTCTTGACTTCAATCATCATTTTGCCCGCTCCTTGAATAGGAGATGATGTCACATTAGCATACACAGACTGATCGACCACAATCAAAATTTTGAGTCGCAGCTGCCAAAACTTGTACATAGTCTATCCTTCCTTTCACAGGGGCAACCATGAAAGGAAGCCGCAAAGGCCTGCTTTGACCACGCAAGCATCTTTGTATCAACCTCAGCGTCAATGCTTCGCCTTTCCATTCGAATCCATGAAGCGGCGAAGAGCTCGTTCGATCGCGACCTTGACGTGCTGTTTGTCTTCTTTCTTCATCTCTTGTCCTTCCTCCGGCTCCAACGGAGTCACCTGCTGAATCCAGCTCCCCCGCCGGCTCCCCCTCCTCCGCTTCGACTTGATCATCAGCTCCACCATGTCCTCTGCCGTCAGCTCCTCCTTCAAGTCCCAGTAGCTTCCCTCCTTCTCCGCCTCTTTCAGCGCCTGCAGTAGATCCTTGAGGGTCGACCGTCCTTGCAGCCGCTCCCACGCGTCCTGCGCCTCGTTGTACACCTGATGGATCAGGTCCTCGCTCCCGTGCTTCTCCACTAGCTCCTGCCGGCTCGCGTAGCTGTCCATGACGATGGCGAGCAGCATGTTGAGGATGATGAGGGAGACGACGCAGATGTAGGTGCAGACCCACGCGAAGCCCATGCTCTTGGTCGTCTCGTCGAACGCCTTCAGCTCGCTCCAGACGCTCAGGTCCGCCACAAGCAGCTCGAAGCAAGTCATCAGCGAGTCCCACAGCGTCGCAAACTCCTTGATCTGGTGCCCGAACAGCAGCGTCCCGATGCTCGCGAACCCCAGCTCGATCATCACAAACACGATCAGAAAGTGCACAATGTCGTTGGACGCCGCAAGGAAGGTCTCCACGATGATGGCCAGGCGCGGCTGAGCGCGGATCACCTCCAGGAAGTGGATCATGATGAGAATCAGGTTGACCGAGCACAGGATCCTGTACGTCCCCAGGTGGTAGATCACCTCCTGTATCCGATCCTGCCCCGATCCCGTCAGCCGACAGCCTCCCCCTCTCTCCTCCTCCTCTCCCTTACCTGGACCTCTGCCTCATGCTCCTTGAAGCTCTTCGCGATCTCCTCGCTGATCGCCGTCGTCTCCTTGAGCAGCCCCAAGTGCCACCAGAAGCTCAGGAACACCGACAGCACGATCGTGCCCCCCGAGATCACGTCCCACACTCCCACCTCCCTCTTGGCTATCCTCTTCCTCATACGCATCCCCTTGTCCACCATCATCGCCAGCAGACACACGTACCACGCTGCGTCCCACCCGTACGAGCTCGCGGGGTGGAGCGTGTACGGGTCGAGGATGACGGAGCCGATCTCGAACTCGTTCTTCACGTAGCCTCCTCGCTCCAGCTTCAGCTTCAACGAGCACTGCGTGAAGATGCTCAGCTCCCCGTTGTACAGGGTGACGACGATCCGCACGTGCTCCGTCTGCCGGTCGATCCAGTGCCTCGCCTCGAGGTACTTGACCTGCTTCGCGATCTCCTCCTGATCCCTCTCCGGGTCCAGCCAGAAACGGTACACATCCTTCCCCTCCTCTGCCGTGAAGCCCTGCGAGTAGGAGGCAGACTGCGAGAAGTCGATAGCCTTGCTGTACTCCTCCCCTCCTAGACACTCGCCTCCTTGGGCCGGGCCGGACGACGGCACGTAGTCCAGCGGGGGGCAGAGCTGCACGCCGAAGGGAGCGCGGTCAGCCTCCTTGCCGGCGGGGTGGCACATAGAGCCATAGAAGGCGTCGAGGAGGTGGATCTGACACTCGACGGGCCGGGCGCGTCGCTGCTCGAGCCGGATGCTGCCGAGGATCTTGTTGTACTGCATCAGCCTGCCCCACTCGCTCTTGGCAAGGTTCCTGCCCGCTGCATCTTTTTGCACAAATGCAACATCGAGGAAGACGTACTCGAACCATTTCCAGAACTCGTAGACTGTATGTATGTCTTGAAAGTGAGAGATAGCCGCGTCGTTCCTGGCGGAGAAGAGAAAGACGTGCTCCACTGACTTCTCCACCAGGCTCATGCGCTGCACGTCGACGTGGTTGAGGACAGACAAGAAGAAGGCGATGCAGGTGAACATGACGAGGGGAATGTGCCTGCACATGTCGCGAGAGATGGCTGTGCTCTCGAGGTGCCTGAGAAAATCTCCTTTCCGGATCGAGAGGCTCTTGAAGAAAGTAGATGCAAACGTCGCAGCACTCTGCGCATGGAACCGCTTGATCGGATCATCTTTGGGGTTGTTCTGAATCTCTTCTTGGGCCCCTTGCTCCTCCATAACAAGAAGTTGGGGGCCGTTCAACCCTGCTCAGGGCAGCAGCGCGAAAACTAATGGAGCAATATGTCCTCAGGGAACAGGAAGCAAGCAGAGGAGAAGACGGCTCAGGAAGCTCAAAGTAAAGGGCGTCGAGGAAGAGCTGAGGGATAACGGTAGGACAGATCAACACTGGCGAAGACAGAAAGAGTCAAGGGCAGGGAGGGATATCGCAGGAGTTTGACGAAGGGGAAGGCGAGGGGAAAGGTGAGAGACAGAGAGGTAGATAGGTGAGTTCAGGTCAGAGATGAAACAGTGTGAGAGGGAGCAGCAGGGATGGGAGGGGGGGGCAGGAGGATCAGGACAAGAAGGCGCAACGCACGGACACTTCCCGGGCCGCCATTTCCGGGGAAGCAAGGTTTTAATGTACAAATCTGTATAATTACCTATAGGGCTGATGATGTAAATTCGTACTATGGAATATATGTGGGTGAACAACTTGGTACAAAATCATGTTTATATATATATATAGATGAAGCCATATAAGTATTTTTACTTCGTGAGCTGTAAAATATTTCTTTTAAGCAATTTTAACTTGACCATTCTGTTTTTCAAAGTTTTACTTCTGGTACCTTAAAACCTAGTACCTTAAAACCCTTTTCCGGCTTCTGGGGAAAGGTGGAGGAATGCAGCTAGCGCGCGGGCGACGAGGGTCGCGATGCTCGCGGTAGTGACTTAGCGACCAGAAGATCGTCCGACAGGCCCTCCCTTGCTACTGATCCATCGACCCACTTGCGGTCAACAGGCTGCCATGGAACATAACGGGGAGATGGATGCGGCCGATGCGCCCAACTCACATGCTTCAGTTATTTCTGACGCCATACAGCCCACCCTCAACCCTGATCCTGCTACAGCAACAAACCAGCCGCCAGGGGCTGAGCAAAGTGAGATCAGTCACAGCGGTTCGTTTCGGGGGCTCTATGCGATGCAAAGAATCAAACAGAGTGTCGAGGGGCTCGGAGCTTCTTTCCGGAACAGTTTTAGCAGCTCACAATCCAGCTTGAAACGTTTGCTCCCCAGCGCTCAGACAAGCAATGTAATCAATAAGGCTACAGCCATTCCCCGCAAACTCCTCCTCCAGCACCTCGAGAGCACAGCCATCTCTCGCGACATGTGCAGGCACATTCCCCTCGTCATGTTCACCTGCATCGCCTTCTTCTTGTCTGTCCTCAACCACGTCGACGTGCAGCGCATGAGCCTGGTGGAGAAGTCAGTGGAGCACGTCTTTCTCTTCTCCGCCAGGAACGACGCGGCCATCTCTCACTTCGCAGAGATACATGAGGTCCAAGAGTTCTGGAAATGGTTCGAATTTGTTTTCGTTCCCATCACGTTCCTGCAAACTTCCCCCGATGGGTCCCCTTTGGACAAGAGCGAGTGGGGCAGGCTGATGCAGTACAACAAGATCCTCGGCAGCATCCGGCTCGAGCAGCGACGCGCCCGGCCCGTCGAGTGTCAGATCCACCTCCTCGACGCCTTCTATGGCTCTATGTGCCACCCCGCCGGCAAGGAGGCTGACCGCGCTCCCTTCGGCGTGCAGCTCTGCCCCCCGCTGGACTACGTGCCGTCGTCCGGCCCGGCCCAAGGAGGCGAGTGTCTAGGAGGGGAGGAGTACAGCAAGGCTATCGACTTCTCGCAGTCTGCCTCCTACTCGCAGGGCTTCACGGCAGAGGAGGGGAAGGATGTGTACCGTTTCTGGCTGGACCCGGAGAGGGATCAGGAGGAGATCGCGAAGCAGGTCAAGTACCTCGAGGCGAGGCACTGGATCGACCGGCAGACGGAGCACGTGCGGATCGTCGTCACCCTGTACAACGGGGAGCTGAGCACCTTCACGCAGTGCTCGTTGAAGCTGAAGCTGGAGCGAGGAGGCTACGTGAAGAACGAGTTCGAGATCGGCTCCGTCATCCTCGACCCGTACACGCTCCACCCCGCGAGCTCGTACGGGTGGGACGCAGCGTGGTACGTGTGTCTGCTGGCGATGATGGTGGACAAGGGGATGCGTATGAGGAAGAGGATAGCCAAGAGGGAGGTGGGAGTGTGGGACGTGATCTCGGGGGGCACGATCGTGCTGTCGGTGTTCCTGAGCTTCTGGTGGCACCTGGGGCTGCTCAAGGAGACGACGGCGATCAGCGAGGAGATCGCGAAGAGCTTCAAGGAGCATGAGGCAGAGGTCCAGGTAAGGGAGAGGAGGAGGAGAGAGGGGGAGGCTGTCGGCTGACGGGATCGGGGCAGGATCGGATACAGGAGGTGATCTACCACCTGGGGACGTACAGGATCCTGTGCTCGGTCAACCTGATTCTCATCATGATCCACTTCCTGGAGGTGATCCGCGCTCAGCCGCGCCTGGCCATCATCGTGGAGACTTTCCTTGCGGCGTCCAACGACATTGTGCACTTTCTGATCGTGTTTGTGATGATCGAGCTGGGGTTCGCGAGCATCGGGACGCTGCTTTTCGGGCACCAGATCAAGGAGTTTGCGACGCTGTGGGACTCGCTGATGACTTGCTTCGAGCTGCTTGTGGCGGACCTGAGCGTCTGGAGCGAGCTGAAGGCGTTCGACGAGACGACCAAGAGCATGGGCTTCGCGTGGGTCTGCACCTACATCTGCGTCGTCTCCCTCATCATCCTCAACATGCTGCTCGCCATCGTCATGGACAGCTACGCGAGCCGGCAGGAGCTAGTGGAGAAGCACGGGAGCGAGGACCTGATCCATCAGGTGTACAACGAGGCGCAGGACGCGTGGGAGCGGCTGCAAGGACGGTCGACCCTCAAGGATCTACTGCAGGCGCTGAAAGAGGCGGAGAAGGAGGGAAGCTACTGGGACTTGAAGGAGGAGCTGACGGCAGAGGACATGGTGGAGCTGATGATCAAGTCGAAGCGGAGGAGGGGGAGCCGGCGGGGAAGTATGCGAGCACAGGTGACTCCGTTGGAGCCGGAGGAGGTTGGAGGTCTGTCGAGGACGGAGAGCTTGCACTTCAAGGAGCTGGTGGACAGGGTGATAGTCAGAGTGTCTTCGAGCAGTAGATGAAGGGGTAGTCTAGAGCTAATAAACTGGGCTGAGAAGGCTTGTTCAGTGTAGTGTTCCGAAGCTTCTCAGCCACCGGTGAGCCACCGGCGGTCACCGGCGGTCTTATCGGATGGTCCACCATCTTTCGCGGATTCTCATCAGGGGCCATTGGAATGGCGGGGCTCGTGGCAGCATGTGCCGTGTCGTTCTGCGCAGGTGGGAGGGATGGAGGGAGAGAGGGAGGGAGGGAGAGAGAGAGGGAGGAGGGGCGGGGGAGAGGGGGAGAGAAAGCTTAGGAGGGAGGGGGTAAGGAAGGGAAGGTGGGAGGGCTGAAGGGTGTGTAAGCGGGTTAGGATGGAGGAGGAGGTATTGGATTGACAGCTCCGGTCGCACTTGCAGGCTTCATGGCGTCAAGGATTGTCGCGCCTGCTGTGGATAGGAAGAGCCTTTTGATGCACGACGAGGATGAGGACGAGGATGGAGGTCGCCAGAGCTCCTCCTGCAGTGTCGACAGTCGCTGAATGATCCTGACAGCTGGTTCCAACAAGCTACGCAACGACTTCGGCATGACCGATGGGCCTGGGAAGATGGTGAGTGCTGCTACATGCCTCGCCTCGCCCTCCCGTCCTCTCCCTACTCCTCCTCCTCCTCCTCCTCCTCCTCCTCCTCCTCCTCCTCCTCCTCCTCCTCCTCCTCCTCCTCCTCCTCCTCCTTTCACCTTGCGAATGCTCCTGACGTGAGGGTGGGCAGGTGCTGGTGGTGAACCAGGAGCTCAAGATGGGCAAGGGAAAGATCGCCGCGCAATGCGGGGTACATGTGGAGCTGCCCTGAGGTAGGACTCACTGGCGGTATGGCAGCATGCTGTGCTGGGTGCTTACAAGAGGGGGAAGAAGTATGCTCCCTCCGCGCTGACGTGGTGGGAGAAGTTCGGCCAGGTGAGACGGCAGTCCCTGTGTGTTGCAAACGTCGGACTGAGAGGAGCGTGTAGGCGAAAATCTGCGTGCAATGCCCGACAGGTGGAGGATAGGAGGGAGGGGAGAGGCAGGAGGGGAGGCTGATGGGAGTTGGACGGCAGAGAGGGATGAGAGAAGAGGAAAGGGGGATGGGGAGGGGGGGAGGAGGGAGGAGGAGGAGGAGGAGGAGGAGGAGGGAGGAGGAGGAGGGAGGAGGAGGAGGAGGAGGAGCGAGGGGAGGGAGGAGGGGAGGG